ACAAGGAATGTTGACATTTAAATCCATTGCTTCTTGCTGAAAGGGATCCTACAGGTGACATTAAGGAAAGTTTTCTCTGCTGAGCACCATTCAACCTGCTGTTTCTTCTCTGGAGATGATTTGAGTAGGTAATGGCAGATCTAATTCAGGGAATGATAAATGCAGATAGAGAAAGATGGGTTTCTATGAAGCAACAAAAGTCTGGCTAATGTTTTTTTTAAAAGCTCAGAGACTGCCCTTCAGTTTCTTTCTACTGCTTCCCTCTTGCCTAAATTATAGTAGCATCCCTGAATTGTAGTAACATACAGATCTCTTTGACTAGGGGCAGGCAAGATATGGCTTTCCAGATGTTGTTCAACTCTGGTACCTATCTCAACCTGCCAGCACAGGGATTGGTCAGGGGCGACAAAAGCTGGGCTCCAAGCAACATCTGGATGGCTGCAGGTTGCTCGCCTCTGTCCTACCATTAAGGTTCTATGAGTAATTAAGTTCTGTGAATTAATTAATGCATGATTGCCCAAAATCTACACAATTTGCACCTCCTGCACCAGAACAATGTGGGGAAATGCCTACAGTTTGAAAAAATGTACGACTTTTTGGAAAATAGGTATGAATTTTCTGGTAAAAACAGCAACAACAACCAAGTGCAAAATCTGATATGAACATGAGTTAGCAAGAAGCTTCAGGACAGAAATCGGAGAACTTCAGTGTCCTTGAGTTTTGCTGATTTGCACATCCTTACCTAGAATCCAAGTGTCTCTACCACCTGCCTTTTTCTTATCTCCAAGACACTGAGGGACAAATTGAATGTGATATAAAGCATCTCATTTAGCAAGCATTGTGGTCCATTCACAATTCCCCCTTCCCCAAGCTGATATCAGTACAGAAAGAAATTGATTGGCATAATCAGAACTCTGTGTGTCAGCCAGCCCCTAAACTCATTATTTAAATTAAAGATGTATGCCAAACATTTACATGATTCGGTGTCACATAGAGTTTCGCACCGTTGCTCTTTCTGGAGCCAAGAAAGAGTTTCATTATCTCAGCCCTCTGGAGGTTGGAGCCGTGTCATTAGGGTGCTCTTGAATGTTCTAATGGAAGAAGCATCTCCTCCCATATTTGTCTCTCCAGACACCACCTGAACTCTTTCTCCAGGTGTTCCTGTCAAATAAGGTAGGTTTGGAGTTTGGCGGCTCCAATGTCAAGGGCCTTCCAGGGCTGACACCCAGGTTGAAGAATGCCTTCCCCAAAGAGTTGGGGCCCATGTCATGCTCTCTTCTGTGCCAGTTTTTTGCCCTCCTGTCCTCTCAGGCGCTTTAAGAACTATTTTCAGTGTTTCTATCAGTGCAGTTTTACTGCTGCTGGTTTTACTTTGGTTTTGATCTGCTGGAATATTTTTTACTTTGTGCTGCTGATCTCATATTGGCTTTTATTGCATTTTGTCTTCAGTGTTTTATTGTTTGTATTTTATGGTTTAATGTATTGTGCACATCTTAAAGAACTTGAGTTTATAGGCAGTTTGAAAGTATATTAAAGAGATAAATCTTTATTAAGGACTGGCTGAACATTACTGACTCGATTTCTGAATTCAGAAACAGATGCTACAAACTTAGTCTAAAAATTATCAATTCCATCAACTATGTTAGAAAAGCCAGATCCCCTGCTCCCTTGTCCTACCATGCAGACTTAGCTAAATTGGGGAGCATTGCCATGGCCCCAAGAGAGCATCTGATGGGCCCTAGGAAACTTTGGATTCCTAGAGAGTCCTCTGCCCTCAATGGGAGGAATCTACAATCTGTACCATCTCCTGCTCACAGCTGGTACAGAAAGGACCACTCTCTAAGCTGCCTCTCTAAGGTCAAGAATATGAGCTCAGACAGTGGAGAAAGGGGGCATTTTCTGGACTGGAAAGGAAAGGGGATTTATTTGGAGGCCTCCCTGGTCTCCTTTCCTCCCCCTCCAAAACACTGTTGTTAGATGTGCAAGAACCGCAATTGCTGCAGTTGGGTTGTGGCCTCCAGCAATAAACTTCATGAAGGTTTCTGGGCAGCTTCTGGCTCTGCTTCAGCTGGCTGTATAACTCTGTTTCCCTTTTTTAGCTCCATTTATTGTCAGATCATTGGAGAATCTGTTGACAGGAGTGTGGAGAAGATGGAGAGCATCTCGCTGAGCTCAGGAAATGTGTTCGGTGTGAAAGGAATAGAGGAAAAGGTGTCTGACAAATGGCTCGAGAAGACTGGCTGTCCATGACAGAAAATAGATGATGATAAAACCTGGAGTGTGACAAACAGAGTGGGCCAAAGTGTTCAAGATGCTGATGATGCTCAGAAGCAGCAGCAGCAGGGAGGATGGAAAGGCCCAACAAAGTTATGTTGTTTTGGATGCCTTAAGGAGCAAAGGAACAGCAAACAGAAGTGATGATTTAACCCAGGGGTGGGAAACTTCAGCCTCGGGAGCCAAATCTGGCTCGGCAGGCCTCCTCAGAAGGCCATGCACCCCTCCCCTGGCACCACCCACTTCCCTACAACCACCAATCCTTTGGTGGCGTCCTGGCTCTCCATCGCTTTCTCCTTGTTCAATAAGGTTGAATTGCTTCTCTTAAGACAGGCATGAAGAGCTTTAAGTTAAAACATGCCACTGTTTTGTAGTTTTGGTCATGCAACCTTTTGCTTCTGGCCTTCTACCACCACTGGAACACAGACCCTGAGAGCTTCTCTGAACTTGGATTTGGCTCTCCAGGCTGAAAGAAGCTCCCTTCTGGTTTAGCCCATCCCCTTCCAGGTCAGGACAGCATTCTCCTCCCCACAAATGCTTTCCTCTCCACTGACTGGCAAGACTGCTGTACCATTTGGCAGAGCGAGGTGCTGGGTGGCCAGAGGGGTCGTGGCATCTGGAGGAAAAAGGCTGTGTGTGATACACGGCCTGCCATGGGCTGCCTAAGCCAGTCCACGGTCTTCAGAGCCCACAGCGGAGGTTGTCTCACCACCAGTGCATGGACAGGAGAAGGGGATGCCATTTTCTTCTTTGGCTCAGGTCAGGCAGAAAAATGTCATGGGCCAGCCATGCTCATTGGTTCTTCCATATCCAAATTCTGAGGCCTTATCTTGAATAGAGTCTTACGCTATCTTACGTAAGTCTTATGCCTTATGTTATCATTGACAGATGCTCCTGTTACACCAATTAGCTCAAGCATGTCACACAACAGGGGTTTCACACCATGTTTGTGTATATGTGCACTTGGCGGCAAGCCACATTGAACTAAGGCAGGAGTGAGGTGCAGCGCTGGATCTTGACCACACAATTGCCGTGCGATTTCTCCAGACAGTCATTTTGTCCATCTAAAGCACTGGAGAGGGGTAGGGAGGGAGGCTGTGATATTGACTGGAATCAGCAAAACTCCATGGCCCCAGCCTCTTCCCCACCTCAGAATGTGTCTCCGCCACTTCTGGTTGCAACCTTGCAGCTTGCAACTGCTAATGCGGTTCTCGCCACACTGGGTGCATAAAAGCAGGGTGGAGATTTGGCCTGAGATAGCTGGGACTCCAAAGACTCCTATGGCATCTTGGACAATGCTGGGAGGCCACAGGATTGTACTTCTAGTTTATCTTTTCAGGTAAGAACAAATTAATATATAAGCACAAATTAAGCTGTCCTTCTTATGTTATTATGCCTTAATGTTCCATCACACATGAATTCTGTCCCTTCAGTACTTTTTGCTAGCTTTTCTGCACCTTTTTTCCAAAGACCCATGGATTGTGCAAACTTTTTTGTATTTTCAGGGAATGTTCCCTTAATCATTTCTAAATGTCCTTCTCTCTTCTTTAATTTTCCATCTGTTTTCAGCCTTCTTTATGAAAACTACTTTTGTCTGTGCATTGATTTCCATCCATTTCTCACTTGCAAGTTCCTCTAGGCACAATAAGATTCTCTCTCATGAAATGAATTGAGCCATCAAATCTGAAGGTCCATTTGCTTGTTTTCATTTTCATAAAAATTGCATTGCAAACATAACATGACAATAATTGGTAGTGTTAAAAATTTGAAACCTGCCCCAAAGCACAGTACAAGCATTTCAGAATTGCCTATAAATCTTTTACACTAGATGTTAATTCATAATATACACAATTGCCAATTATTTATATTGAAATGTGATATCGTGATGCATTGGTGCAACACACAGTTGCACACACGCTATTCTGCATGATCTGCACAAGAGGAACAATTTTTTTAGAAAATCCTGCACTGACATCAGAGCTTGGACAGGTTTTTCATGCAATCTTTTATCTGCCATATGCATATTTTTTTCCTCTGGATTGTAGGGAGAAAGTCATAAGTGCTTAAGTCCCACTCAAACCACAAAGCTAAAACCAAAAGTGCAAATAATCCCCACTTAAATCCTCAGGTATGATTTAAGCAGCCTTCATTTTTTTTAAGCTCAGCTCAGTACAACTATTGTGCTATCTGTGGCCTCAACACTCAGGCATAAGCAGGATCTCCATTCACTTCAATGGAGGGAGAGCCATGCATGCATCTCTTCATGTATCTAAAGCTCTCCCTTCAACTTATGTGAATGGGAAGAAGGCCTATGGCACTGAAGCTCTTGCAACTGAAAGGTATTAGTGAACTGACACAAACACTGAAAGTCAATGTTAATTTTTAAAAAGCCATTGAAGTCCAGATTCCGAGAGCAGATCTTCCCTCACTGACAGCTGATGGACACCTGAGCTCCTGGGATTGATTCCAGAAGTATCCAGGCAGTGGCACACCTTTAGCTGTTCAAATTGGATCTCCAACCTTTTCTACACAAGTGAAGCCAAGCTGGGTTTTAATACCCCTGAATTGCTCCCATCTTCATATTGGGTTTGGCCCTGGGACAATAGTCAATAGAGCTATGGAGAAAGCTATTACAAATGTATTTCCTGAAAGGCAGAATTATTTGCCATTCTGGGTAAAAGCTATTCCTGTTCACTTGGCAACACCACAATTGAGACCCGAGTCTACTAAGAACCCCCTACAACAATCCTACGACTGATGGCTCCAGGAAGAGTATAGATGAAAAGTGCTAAGAATATAAGCAGGATAAGCAAAATGAAACCGATGATGATGTATTTCTTGTAATTTCTCCAGATGAGGTGAAGGAAACACTTGAAAGGATTCACAAACCAGGAGAAGGAAGTGTCAGGTCGGCTGAAAAAAGAGCAGACAGAAAAACAAATTAGGATTGTCATATTCTTATCTATCTATCATCTCCCAAAGTAATTGTCTCATCAGTTTAACCTCTGATAGTCACTGGAATTGAAAAGAGAAATATATTTTGCATTTCATCTCTGCAAAAATTGAAACATGATGTAGATTTTCCATTTACATGCATTTTTTTGTAAAATAAAATACCTATTACAATAGCATATTTTTAGATTCCCTAGGAACTAGTTAAGAGATAGAGAGAAAACAAGTCTGAACAGAAACTTTATCCTGTGCAATGGAAATGATATGACCCTGAGTGTCTCACTTGTAGTGTTGGATGAGTTCACACATAACTGTTGTGGCGTGTAGCTACATGCACAGAAGTGGAGCTGACCCTGCATGGGACAACTGGTCATTCTGACACTACTGATATGTGAGTCTAAGAATGCTACATTCACATGGGGCTGGGCAGAGGAGACACTGTTAATCTGGATCGCTATGACTGTGCTCTCCCTGTCCATCTCTGATCCCTGAGCTGCATGTCCAGGACTGTCAACTCAACTCTCAAGTGAGTCAGAAGAAAGAACGCAGAAGAGATTGGGTGTAGTGGGGAAGCTCCATGCCACCATACTGCTTGAACATGGACAATATATCCCTTCTCTATTATAACATGAGCTGAATGTTTCATTTTCGAAATAGGCATTACATGCCTGGCAATAGAAATGTTGGCCATGTCACTGATAATCAGTGTATAGATTATGCATGAGTGTTCTTGGTTCTTCTTCTCCATTAACCCAATTGCAAGCGAGGACCAAAACTGGTATCCACAGATTTCAAGCAGCCAGATCCAGGTATTGGTCATACAACATTAATTCTTTGACTGCTGGGGTAAAATAAACACCAACATGCAGCAACCCCACTTACTTGGGCTTTTCCAATGGTTCTGGCTCCTTCCTAGCTTTGCCTACTGGATTTTTCTCTGCTTCCTCTGCCGTGACTAAATGAAATTCCGCTTCCACTTTGCCCTAGGGGTGAGAAAGCAGCCTGTTTAGGTTCAGAGTATTTAACCTTCTCATGATGAGTTTTTCGCCATGGTATTTTTTCCCGAGCAGTTCATCAATATATAGAAACTATTGTATATTGAAATGATTAATAATAACTACTGACATGGGGAACTGCCTCCTGGCAACCTTAGAACTGGGCTTGGAGCTTGCCTACAAATTATATTCCAGAAGCTCAGAAAATATTTTGGTTTGTTTTGAGCCCAATTCATACCCCATTAAATTCCCTGTGATGTCAAAGGAAGCACAACAGGTTCGGTCCTTCCTCCAATCTCTCCTAGTTGTGGCTCTTTCCTCTTCTCCCCATCTCACCTGCTTACCTTTGTTGTTGCTCCTGTGGAAGTAAGTGGCTGAAAGAAAGGGAAATCTCTATTCCCCTTTCCCTCTATGTTAGGTGGCATAACACTAGGGCTGCACAGCAGGCACAAGGAGGACTGGGAAATGTAGTTTCCCTCTGCTTCCGATGTCACTGGCGCTCAGGGAACTACTTATCCCCATGCTCCTTGCCCTCCCTCCTTTCCTCCATGAAAATGTGAGCTTTGGCAGTTTTAATGCTCCTGTCCCAGATTCGTAGCTCTGAGCTAGGAAAAGAACTAGTAATTAGCATGCATATCATGCACCAGAGCATTCAACATTCTTCCAGTAGCTGCTGTAATTAAAAGCACACTGTTAATAAGTACAGCTGCAGAAAAAAGCCATGGCTGATGAAATCTCAGAAACCAGAATGAACTAAGCAGAGCGACCGATGGTTAGGGAGAGCATTGACTTCACGCCCAGCTGCTTAGCTCTCTAGGCAGGGAATTGAAATCCCTCCCCATGGCAACTTGAAGTCTTAATCAGCTTGCTACTGGCTTCTGATATTTCACCAATCAAGTTTTTCTCCATACAGGGGGAATGGTTTAAATGTGTTACTTTGAATAACAGCAAAGATGTTCATAATCTCATAAATTCTGCAGAGCACACAGACCATGCATGCTTCTGACCATAATAACTTAGCACCTCCACTTGCAATTTAATTAAGAAAAGGTGTTAAGTAAGGATATTAAGGCAAAGGCGCATACCTGTGCCTTTGAGATAATGAAGAGAAATGCAATGCAATGAGTGTTATATAGTCTGCGGTGTGAAAAACGTGGTTAGGAAATAATGATATGCCTTAAGATACCTAGATCAAAAAACCCAATGTCCATTAATTTATGGAAATCTTTATGTTACTCCATTGCTAAGCTGTACACCTCACAGTCATCTAAACATCTGTAACAGGCATGGCGCTTGAACTACCGTTAGGCCAAGATGGCTGCTGCAAAGTGCAGATGAGTCCTCCTGAGCGGCTTTGTTGCAACCAGGTGCAGCAAAGGATGCTGTGCTCATTACAAGCACTGCCTCGTTATGAGCTCAACTTATTTGCAGTGTAATAGCTTGAGTGCTGGGCTAGGAGTGGAGAGACTTTGGTTCAAGGCCATCTTCTCCCATGAAGCCCATTGGACAGCTTTGGACCAGCCATTGACTCTCAACCTTACCTATCTTCCTAGGCCTGATGTGAAGATAAAACAGATCCTGTTTTATCATGGATCTTGCCTTGGGCTCCTTTGAGGAAAGGTGGAATATAAATTTAACAAATAAATTGAAACACTGCCATTCCAATTGGCCTTTGCATGTCACACTGGCACTGTGTTGTCCTTTCTTCAGGCAGCCGAATGTATAAAGCTGGTTCTGACTAAGGGTACATTCCTTTCCTCATTTTCCCAGGACTTCTTTTTTTTCAACTCACAGTTTCCAACTGGCCTGATTTTAACCTCCTTCCAATGGTCCACCTCGTCTCAGGACCCTACTGTCCAATCTCACATTAGGAAAGAAACCCAATAATAAATTGCTGATGTTTGGACTGAGAACTATTCCTTTTATAGTAGAAAACCGATGCTTATCAAGAGACAATGGCTAGGTAAGCTTGAATCCATGTACAAGATGCTGGAATTAGTTGGCTTAATGAAAACCCCATTTGCAGAAATACTTCCAAAAAATCTAGCCCCAATGCCATGAAAATTGGACACACTAAAACATAGAATGTAAATAAACCCTGGTGGTGGGGATGGAATAGAGTGGAGTGGCTGGAACCTGAACAGCAGCTTTTGTTGCCAGTCCCACCCGCTGCACTGAGGATCTCCACAGAATATTTACCGTGAGTTCTCCAGCTTTGATGAAAGGCCACCAGCCTCTGACCCGCTTCTGCTGAAATATGGAAATCTTGTTCTCCTCGCTCATTGCTGTCACCATGCTAATGTCACAGTGCTTGGCAGTTTTGGCAGCTCGGGGAAAGCCATTCAGGTTCATTTCCAGAGAACCTGTGGGGCAGGTGGATGAAATCACACATCAGTCACAGATCAAGTGGTCTATATAACTTTCCAAGAACAGCTTCCAGCTCTGATAAGCCAAGCTCCACATACTATAATCTGATCATAACTTTCCAAAATTCTTCCTTATGATGCTTAGCAGAGGATGCAGAGCAGCATATTAAAACTGAGCTGTCTCACTAGAGAGCATGGCTTTCCCCATTCTCCACTGAAGTGACAAGCTGTCGCTCAGTGCTAAATCGCACACTTAGTGTTCAAAAGGTCCAGGGTTCAAATCCTGCATAATTTGTATTGTTGTATATTTTTATCTCTATTTTATTAGTGTTGCATTTTTAAACTGTTGCTCTTAGTCTGATTGTGGCTTTTTTAATCTTATGATTGTGAGCACAAAAAGCGGCATACAAATCTTTTAATAAATAAGTAAATAAATAATCCTCAACACTTTAAAAGAAGTAAACCCTTTAAATATTGCCTTATTTGCTAAAAAGCCATCAAGATCATACACAACTGTTTTAAACAGCAAAACCTTAAAATGATCAAAAGGCATTAAAAAGTAAAACATTAAGGGCAGAATTCTGTTCATTTAGATGGAAAAGAAGTCCTGGCTGCAGCATGTTGGGAGCTGTCCGAAGTCTTTTCTAAATTGTCCCTAAATCACTGAAGCTGCTATGCAACTGAAAAGGCTGTCTTTATAACACTTCTCAAGGCCAAGAGGTCAACCGTAGTTCTTGAGGGAGTGCATTTCATGCTTTGGAAACATGGCTTATGCCCAAGATAAAGACCTCTGCAGCTCGTGCTATCCCAGGGAAACCTTTCCTGCCGATCTTACCCACTCCCAGCATTCCTGACCATTGGCCATACCGGCTGGGACTTATGGAAGATGAAGTCCAAAACATCTGGAAGTCACCAGGTTGGGGAAGTCTGGTGCAAAAAATACTGAATTAGTTAAAACAGTAAGATGGCCCGATAACGCCGCTTTCCATTCTGCCCATCCAATAGATCTGCAGTTCTTGATGTGCACGCACCAATCTGCGCAGTGGTATGGGCTGGCCTGACTTCACTACAATGGAGGATGGATCAGTCCAGGTTCCATCAAAGCAGGACCTGAATCTGCATCACAATCAGCACTGTGTACAGTTGAGCAGCAACCCGGTTATCCTTCAGTCCATATCCAGGCTGCTCCATTCAGCTTGGGGCTTACCCAGGAAGTCATCAGAAGAAAGCCTCTCGAAGTCCCACACCTGGAGCACTAGTTCTGCAGGCATTTTGCGTTCTGTCTTTTCCAAGGAAAAGATGTTCTCCCTCTTGCAGACCACCATTTGCTTCTCAGCTGGGAGATAATGGAATGGGAACACGAAGCGCCAGTTGAAGTTCCCCTCCCCAGTCAGGGAATTGTAATGCACATCTGTCTCCTGATTATCATCCTCAAGGCCTTTCAGCCACCTGTCGTGTGTGATGTTGAGAAGCAAGAAAGAATCAGAGGGAATCACAAGGGAAGCACAAACGATGGAGCCAAGATGTCTTCTGCTTAAGCGTTCCAGACAGGTGTCTGTCCGGCCTTTTCTTTAATTCCTTAACATTTCCATGGAAGACAGATCTGTGACTTATCAAGAACTGTCCTGAATCCCACCAGCCCCTTTTCTATTCTAAATTATTTGCAGCTGGAACTACAAGCAAGAGGAATGTGCCTAAGACCACTTCCCCCCACACCTGGAAAGGAGCCACCTGTGCAGTGCTAAAAGGGAGGAAATGCAGCTCCTTTTAAAAAGAGGGCAAGGGAGGACATAGATATGCAGAACATGCTGATTTGCATGTAGCAAATGCATGTAATGGGTGTACCTGCTCAACCATAATGTGGGGGGCTGTGGCCAGATTACCCACATCTGGCAAAGTCTACTTTCCAGGGAGTAACTGGGGACAGGCACCTCAAGACACCAGTCTTCATTCTGACTTTTTTAAAATCTTAAAACTGGACTTGGACTGGAGAGCACTTCGAGGAGACAATGCCTTAAGACCGCAGATTATTCTCTGATAGCTCTTCAGACAGAGGACTGTCCTCTGCAAGTTAGGATACCTGATCACCCGAACCCTACCACAGTCCTTTAAAGGAAACAACAACAACAGATAATCTGAGCCAAACTATAGGACAAATGTTCCATCTATAGTAGTTGTCTAGTAAAGGAGAAAACAGTCTGTTCAATTGCAGAAACTAGGCATAAATACTATAAACATTTTCAGGCTTCTCAGACACTCCCCGCCCCAGCCACACACGCACAGGTTTGCATGGCAATGCTATGGTCTAATAATGGACTTGAAGTTCTCTGCTAATTTTCTTGAAGGAGGAAGTGCAATGCAGAGCCCAGGTTGTTACTGAAACGATTTTAAATCTCAGGAAGCAATTTGCTTCAAACCAACATTCAGCTCAGCTCTGCGTCAGCTTAAAAAATGTTCCCTTCCTCTTGCTGTTGATTATGTTATGCAGTTGCAACGGAAGGGAAAGCATGTCAGGAATGATAACAAATTTGCTCCGTGATAAAATCCTAAGAAGAAGCGATTAAAGTCCCTTGCTGCACTGCTATGTGTTTAAAGAGCACATCTAATGGTGACATACAACACATTTCCAAAATCACTTACCTTTGCTATTGATTTCCTCCTCCTTTGGTGACTTTCTTCACACAGCCACAGTTTGCTTCACTTTATTAAGAAGCATTGCTCACACACAGGGAATTCCACATGGGCCCCGTTGTGGAGTCCACTTTAAATAATTACATAACAATAACAACAGCCTATACATATTCTATAGAGCAGTGGTGGCGACCCTATGGTATGCGTGCCACAGCGGGCACGCAGAGCCCTCTCTGTTGGCACGTGAGCCAAGTCGTCCCGGGATCGCCCCAGCAGCCGAGCATCGCATAACAGCGCACATAGGGGCCATGCGCATGCTCGGAAAGGAGTAGCAGCGCCAGGCAATGACATCATGAGCCGCAGATCATTAGCCATGACTTGTCTGAGCTTTCGCATGACTGGTCAGTGCGCTGCCAAGGATAGATAGATAGATAGATAGATAGATAGATAGATAGATATTTGCTTGGACTGGATGTGAGTTGTTTTTTCTAAACTAAAATCTTGGTTTTCAGGTTTTATTGCGGAGTTGGCACATGATGATAAATAATTGGGTTTTGGGGTGCAGTTTGGGCACTTGGTCTCTAAAAGGTTCACCATCACTGGGTTAGAGTTAGAAAAATTAGGTGTTCTCACAGGATTTTGATGGTTGCAATGTGTTAAGAGTGGGCAGAAATGATGAGCAGTGCAGAAAAAGCAACTCACCAAAGGCTTTTTTAAAATCACCCTCTTTTCAGTGAAAATTTAACCCAATATTAGGGTTAGGGGTGTGCACCAGGGTAGGGTTAAGGTTAGAAAAACGAGGTGTCCTGGCATGATTTTGATGGCTGGAACATGTTTAGAATGGGGAGAATTGATGAGCCATGCTGAAAAAGCTACTCAAAAATGGCTTTTTCAAAATTACCCCTTTCAATGGTATTTCATCCCTATATTTGGGATAGGAGAGTGCACCAGGGTAGGGTCAGGGCAGTGGTGGTGAACCTATGGGACGTGTGCCACAGCGGGCACACAGAGCCCTCTTTGTCAGCACATGAGCCAAGTCACCCCAGCATCGCCCCAGGAGCAAAGCATCGGATATTAGTGCACATGGTGGCCATGCGCATGCTCAGAAAGGAATTGTAGTGCCAGGCGTTGACGTCACGAGCCACAACTCATCAGCCGCAACTTGTCCGAGCATTCACATGTCCGGTCTGTGCACCGCCAAGGATATATGCATATATACACATATATATTGTTTGGACCTGCTGTGAGTTGTTTTTCCTATACTAAAACCTCAGTTTTCAGGTTTTATTACAGTGTTGGCACTTTGCGATAAATCAGTGGGTTTTGGGTTTCAGTTTGGGCTCTCGGTCTCAAAAAGTTTCGCCATCACTTCTATAGAGGAATCTGGCGTCCTACAGATGTCTTGGACAAGAACTCCCATAATTCCTAACCAGTGCAGCCATTGACCAGGCTGACTGGGAAATATGGGCCTTCTCGACCTGGAAAGTTGTTGGGGGAGGTTGCTGTGGGCTCATGGCATGTACCATGAGTCCCCTCTTGCTTGAGAATTTTGCATACAACCTGTGGAAGAGCATGGGAATTGTGGGCCTTGCTTTCCATGTATGCTGCTTCTCTCCCTACTTAATTCTTGTCAGCGGTGGAATCGCTGATGCTGTTGCAATGACCTGATGAAATAGCAGAGACCTTGCTAATAGATCCATTACCTTCTTTAGATGTGTAGTGCAGGTAGTGAATCAATGAATCTGCCCATGACTAAATTATCCATTCAGAGGTCCAGCCAAGGTGAACTTACCCTTTTACGTAGATGTCACTTGACTTTTGTCCTGTGAAGATATTCTCATCTTCCAAAATGACATCTTCTGTATTCCAGATTATTACTCTCAGTTCATAACTAGGAAGAAGCGGTGGGATTAGATTAAATTGGATTAAAAAACTGGTATGATTTGCAAAGGTATGTCATCCAACTACTGTTAATTTGTAGAGTGTAGTCAATCATTTTGGTCACATTTCTAATATTGCATTATCTAAACACAAGAAAATAAAGTGGATTTAAAGAAATTGGACCCTTCTCTGTTTTGCCTTTCATGTTAAAAGAGAATGAATTACCGTCTTCATGCTTGTTTGATGGAATGACCGGAAGCATATCCACAATGTAGGGTTAAACAGTGATTGACCAAAACTTTCACAAAACTACTCTAGTAATTAGAAGATAAAAAGATTTGTGAACTCTTCAGCATCTTTGAATCATTTTGCTAACTGTGCTTGGAAAAAGTCCCGTTGATCTCAGTGGGGTTTGCTTCTAATTAGACATACAAAGTACATACTATAAGGATACAATCCCACACATGTAGGAAGTGTCCTGAAGGTCTCAGCATTCCACAGCAACACCATGTTGGACCATTTATGTATCACTTTTTTCTGTCTAATCTTGCATAGGACTGCATCCTTAATTTCTAATTCCCCCCTCCCCACAAAACCCCGGGCACAGAATGCCTAGACGCTGTTGGTTCTGCTTCCAAAGAAAGCCACAGTGGAACTTTTGTATTTGAAACTGAGGGAATTTAGCTCAGTATTAGTAATAGTCACATAAAAGGAATATACCACAGGCCACCTCAAAGAGTTGAATTCACTCCGACACGATTTCTAAAACTATGAACAAAGGTTTTATACTGATAGCTGCATTGTTTGTATTTATTACACATAGATTTTCCTGCTGGAAAGATGCATCATTTATAGCAAGATAAAAAAAATCTTGCTACAAATTAGCTGCTCTGAAAGTACCTCTTTTAGGTCTTCATTATTTTTCCCTGGAAAGAGGCAAACATTTTGTATTTCTGTGTTTAACAGTGTCAGCTTTAGACTGAACATAACTGATGTAGAACCCCACCCCCCTCAAAAGACTGCCAGTCAAAGCCCTCAGTAATTCCTTTTAAACGAGCCTTGAATTTTATTTCTTTCTTTGTCCATTTTATATGCATCATATTGTCTTTGGCTGACTAGTCTATTCAGTGAAGTTATCTGAAATTATGCCAGCCAAGTACTGCCAAATTCCTTCAAGCCATATACCCAAATAAATATCCATGGGTAGTTTAAACCAGGTAAGGTCCAACATGCGATGCACCAAGTTCATTCCAAGGGATCTTAGCTCTAAATTTGAGTGGCAATGTAAATGCTCTTAAAAGTTAAAGAGCAAACATAAATATCTTAATACTGGAGGCACAGATCAAAAGAAAATAAGGATGGAGACAGACAACAGACCTCAGAAAAACACAAAACCAAACCTAATAATTAAAAGTTTTAAATAGTTTTAAATTAAACTATTAATGATGTTGACACTTGTCTCCCTTCTGGTAAACAGATCTTGCAGGTTTTTTGTTGCCTTAAAAACCTATAGTACCTATTTAACCAGAGAGGAGCTAGGACGAGACAGGACCAGCTCCAGCTTTTCAAGGGTTCAGGAGGAATATTGGAGCAGGTAATGGTGGAAGGAAGTTGAGGCACAGCCTGTGAACAGTGGAAGGAAATGAGGAATGTGGGCTAAGATGCCCTCGGGGCACCACATGGTGTGCACTGCCCCTGCCCTCATTTGATGCACCTCTTAATGGGGTGGGGAACCTCAGGCCCATGGGCCAAATCCAGCCCTCTACGTTTCCCCGGAGTGCCACCCCCTCTTCCCTGGTAATAGCCTTTTTTCCCAACCACCCACTGATTGGTAGTTTCCTGGCTTTTATGAAGCTTTCCTCCTCTTTCTGCAAAAGTTAAAAGCCTCTCCTAAGTTTTAGCTGTTAATGGCAGTAGGAGCACAAATTCTGTGGGATATTTTTGGTTTTTTATTTTAATCTTGGGTTGGGCCTCGCTTCAACCTGCCCATCGCTGGAGTGTGGCCCTTGATAGGCTCCCGGAAGAGGGTTCCGCACCCTCTGCATTAGTGGGTCTGTGCCTGGAAGAATTGCCAAACTAACTCATACCCGATACACACTTCTAACAAGAAGAATTCTTGTTAACTTCTCTTCAGCCAGTATTCAAAGCCTTCTAATATAAGGCATTACAGCTGCTTCTCGCACTATCACTTTTGTTAATAAATGAATACTGTGCAACCTCATTTTACTCTCTTCTTTTCTGCAGAGGATTATTTGCTTTGCAAGTCATCCATTAAGTAGACATGAATCTTGTTGATGAACTACAGTGAAAGGGAAATGATTTTAAAATTAAATGCAGACTCCACTCTCTGGCCCAGTTCACGTCTCAGAACCACTCAGGCTGTTTTAGTTTTAAACGCTGGATTGTTGTGAGCTGGCTCCTGCTGCCTTATCACCCCTTCTGCAAGCGGGAATGAGCTGCTGCTGGGTTGCTGCCTGAGAGACAACCCAGAGTTAGAATGCAGGTTGTCTGCTTTCCATAAACCTGGGTTATTTAGCCCTTCCCACTCACAGCAGAAGCAACTAGGCAAAGAGAATCTGCATACTCTTTCATGCTCACTCAGTTCAAAACAACCCAGGGAATTTTTTAACCCCCCCACCCCCGTTGTGATGTGCTAATCAAAACAGTGTTTGAAATTCAGAATTACATGTGTGGGAAATTCAAACAGAAACACAGAAACAGAGCAAGTCAGAAGGGGTCTTCTGGGCCATCTAGTCTGACCCCCGACTCCAGCCGACTCCACTCATGACATGCCTACCATGTGCATGTCCAGCCTATCCTTGAACACCCTCACTGATGGGGCTTCAACCACCTCCCGTGGAAGCCATACCCTAGGGGTCCTACTCATCGGGAAGTACTTCCTGGCATCCAAACTGAACCTTGAGTTCCTGAGCTAAGCTCTTACATACACAGCCTGAGAAAGAAGCAGAATATGTAAAACTGTAGATGAAGGAGAGGAGCGTGTGAGATGAATTACCCTTTGGGTTTTCTGGGTGAAATATCAACTGGTGGTCCTGGGAGAGGCATATCCTTCGGAAACATGTCCACCCACATCTGCACACGGCCCTTTAGGAAAGGAAACAGAGAATACTCGGAATGGGACTCCTTTGGTTAAGAAATAGCAGGTTGAATTGCAGCATCGTGTCTTCACTCCTGGGGCCCAGGAAGAGACATGTCTCTTCCTTCCACGAAGGCTCTGCTATGATCAGTGAGCCCCTGCCATTCATGGAAAAGCAACTCTAACCTAAGTTTATGTGACTAATCAGATATAATATGGTTTTTGGTGGCAATTTGTGGGTAAATGGTACAAGCCAGGAGTTAACTTGGGGTTGTTTAACCCACAAACAACTGAAAGATGGAAGCAGCTCTCTCACGGGGTTCAGCTGCTCACTTTGTGGGTTAATTAACCCACAAACGGTTCCCAAAAGATGCTGTTACATCTGAACAGGGTCTAACTCTTGAGTGGGAGTGGATGAATCTGTCAAGTTCAATTCCACCCAGTTTTTCTCTTATGTCGGGCTCATTTTGTCTTGTTTCTGTATCAATCGATTTTGTTTTTTAAAGCCTGGATGGAAGCCTGTTCACTGTTTTGTATTTGCCTTTGTTTTTGCATTTATATAAGTTTATATATATAAATTTTTATATATTCATTTTATCTGGTTTTTTGAATATGTGCATTTTGTATACATGACTAAATATACACATTAGCTTTCCCTAACATAATGTGGTATTATGCAATTATTATATTGCAAACAGAACAAAGTTCTCACCCAACCCTAGTTTTGAGTGCCACAAAAGGAAGGTGGGAAGTAAATTATAAAACAGGCAGGTTACGGCAAGGTTTTCTTCCTTGCCACTTATCTAGGCCAAAGCAGTTACCTGTTCCATCCCAGGCTTGTCTTTGTGATAAAGAGGACGTGTCTCAATGTGTTCAGGCACCAGCTTGCAGCCAATGTCTGGGATTTCATTCCAGGAGCGTAAAACCTTCAGAGCAAGGTGCTCGTAGGATTCCACAGGTTCCTCTGCGTGAGAAAAAGCAGTGCAAAATGCAGAATCAAGTCGGCCCTAACAGAGGCTGATCAATATGGCTGCATCATTAAAATCTGCCTGGGTGAAAGCTGGTTTCTACTGTAGCATCCCATGTTTATTCTAGAGTAGACCCATGGAAATGACTACATAGGACTAATACTGGATACTGCACTATGGTGCTAAAGGGAGAATTCTCATCAAATGGATTCTTCAACACTTGTGTATGGAAATGCCCCAGGGAACTGTCAGAGCTTTCGTGCCGAAGAGGCAACTGCCCTTAGAAGATTATGAATTATAAGTTATATGCAATAATAAAAACTGAAACCCTGAAATGTGATTTTCTATGTATTTCTGCTGGTTTTTTAACATAAAGCAATTAGAAGACTAAATAGTGAGACACTCCCCATCCCCACAAGCTAGCCCTACCTGCAAAACAGGGGTACTAAAATTCTTCTGGAGGCGCTCTCCAAATGTGGAGAGACCACATTCCAGTGGTGGACGGGGCCACAGGTGAAAGAAGCAGGGCCAAACCTACCACCTGAATATAGCTTAAAGCTTCCATTGCCAGGAAGTCTGTCTTAGGAGACAAATGTCAATCATTTAAAATGGGGGGCAGGAACTGTACAGAAGACAGGTAACCACCCAAGAATCAGTTGTTGCAGGGAAAGGATCATAGCCAGTGGAAGGCAGCCTGGCCTTTCGGGAAGCACAGAACCAGTTCTACTCTCCTGTTCTAAAATAGCTAAACAGGAGCCTGGGTCCTGGGTCTCAATTCAGTCCCAGCTCTGGGTGGTTGGAGATGCCCATCTTTTTTCATTAAGTAAATGAATAGAAGCAGCACTCAGAATGGTTATTCGTACCATGCCATCAGAGTGAAGTTTCACTATGGAATGACAAAAATGTTGGGAGTATGGAGACATACTCTTGGTGCTCTAGATATCAGTGATAAATAGATAATATGCAGTTACCATCCTCATTTTCCTGGAAGACTGTCTGCCCTGTAAAGACCTTGCTCCCTACTTGTATCTTTCCAGGTTGCATGTAGGGTCCATTCAGTTTGTTCTCTTTGCAAAGCTTGGTCAAGATCTCTGTTGGCTTGGTGGCATCTCGCCAGGCATTGTATCCATCACTGCAAATTAGACAAGATGGTTTGGGATGAATGGATGTTTGTGGTTATTAAAGACATTCCCTTCGGACTGGAGCTACTCAAAGTACCTCCACTTTGTTAAAAAATCATTTCTGTGGTTATACAACCACAGGATGCATAACTTTAAGCAGCATTAACCTTCCACTGGACATTTCTGAAGCTACACAGGCATTCAATCATCAGCTGCTCATAGATGAAATGTCTGGAGAGAAGCTTACATTTCGTATTGACTCTGTAGCCCACAGGTGGCTCGATGCCGACTGTAGAAACGGTTTTCCAAATCAATTTTTGTTTCTCCAATGAGGTCATCTGAACCAATCAAGTCATGGTCATAGATCAGGACTGAAAGCAGAGATTCCTTGGGGAAAGTTGCCTGAATTTCAAATGACCTAATACCGGAAGATAGATAAAAATATGTCAGTTGAATCAATTTCAGACTGGAACCCCAACCATACTTATCTGCAAATAAGTTTCATAGAACTAGTGCAGCTTTCTTTTCAATAAAGATGGTAAGGATTGAGGTATTCAATAAATTAGCATGTGTGCATAATCGTAAAAGGTTATCACAAAACTGCAGAGATGACTGAGCTCTCCAAAGTTGTCCTGAGTTTCCCAGAATTAAAATGGAGACCCAACTGCACCTCTCCAGGGTGCTGCCTCCAGGAACAGCATTCCCAAAGCACATCTTCCTGATGCTTCCTTTAACTGGGTGGTATGCAGTAGAGAGAAGCGAGAGGGCCTTGACTAAGACTGTAATGGTGCTTGAGGAATGATGGAGGTTCTGGTTCCCATACAGGAAGGGGCGGTGGGTCGGCGGGTTGGCGGCTGGGCTGTCATGGGTGGAGACACATTTGATCCAACTTAGGGAAGCATTGCAGTGCATTTAATGCTTGCTCTCTCATTTTGAGGTTGACTTTATAGGCTCCTGAGGGGGTCTTTTGAGCTTGCTTGGAAGTATTTCTCTGGCATCCCTATAAAACGTTCATTAAAATGGCAACAAAATGAGCAAGAATTAAACTCAAGAGTTGTTTATGGCTGCTTCCAGGGATGGTATAAGGAAAAGGTTAATTCATGCAGGTATCTTTCTGGTTGTTTACACCTTTGGTTCAGCATTCTGTCCTCTTAATTTCTTTGCAGTAAATTTAGCAACACTGTGTGTATCACACATACCACGATTTGAGAAGAAATAACTTATCTTGGTGAAATTGTTTGGTTAAGGTACACCAGGTTAATAGGAAATGCATCCTTAGGTTTAGTATGTTTTGCACAATGTGTTGCATAGTGGCAAGCTGTTTCAGTGGCTGAGGCCTGATTAAAAACATGGAGAGAGCTCTGCTGGATGTATCTTTAAGTCAGGAATGTTGAACTTTAGATCCACAGGCTGGATCTGGCCAGATAAAGTCCCCCATCCAGGGTTCCCCTAACAGCCATACTCCTTCCTGCCCTCATTTGGTGGTTTCTCAGCATTTTTAAAAATAAATTTATATGCCACCCCACTAGCCATAGGCTCTCTGGGTGGCTTACATCATATTAAAATTCAACAATATAAAACAATACAATTTTTATTTATTTATTTATTAAAACATTTTTCTGCCGCCTCATTCGCCGAAGCCTCGGGGCGGCTTACAACAATATGCAATATAATATGCAATATAATATTTACTACAAAGAACAATACTAATAACAATAAAGTCAGTAAATAAGCTAACAGGATTAAAACTAAAATAGAAAAAATAGAATTAATAAATACTAAATACTATATACTACATACATATATAAAAACCCTAAAATAAAGCATAAGCCATTAAAATTAGAAATGAATATTCCTCCTTTAAAATCGTGTCCCATTGGCAGCAACATAAAATAATGGTGTTAAAAATTCAGTAGTCAAAATAACTGCTGAACAGATCAATCTTTAGTTGGCACCTAAAAGCCGGAAGAGTCGGTGCCAACCAGTCCTCGAGAAGGACTGAATTCCAAAGTTGGGGTGCAGTGCAGGAGAAGGCCCTCCTCTTTTCAAACTCCCCCCTCACTTCTTTAGGGTGGGGAATGAAGGAGAGCCTCAGATGGAGAACACAGGGAACAGGCTGATACACATGTGGAAAGGCACGCCTCAGATAACCCTGCCCCAAACCATTGCGCATCCTAAAAGGTTGATCTACCTCATTTAACAGATTCGCTGTGGGCAACATGAGCTTCAAGAGAAAATATTTTAGCTTTTCAGTGCCATCCATTTTGCCTTTGCCCTTATCCTTTAAGGCCTTTAGGCTCATCTGCCACTGGCATGCAGCTCCTGAACATTTATCCAAAATGGAATTGGGTCTTCCAGCTAAAAGAGGCTCAGCACCCCTGCTCTGTGGCTTGGACCACGGTGTTTGAAATTTTAGTGCCAATTGTGTTGCTTTTCTGAAATATTGGTAGCATAATATTCATCTCTCAGCCTTCAGGGATGACACTCACCAATTAAGATTGTTCAGGATATATTCTGGAGGAAGTGTGTCCCCCCAGGGGCTTTCTAAATATTGGAGCCCTGGATTAATCTTTCTACCTTTGAGGGAGATTCAGAAAAAGGCATGAATTAATCTTTTCCACCGTGGGGAATTTAACTTGGCAACGTGGCTTGAATGCCTGTTCCCTTTTGCAGCTGAAAACATGCCAGAATGATGCTTCCTGTCATTTCCAAATTCACCTCTTAATTTTTCCCCAAATACCAACATTTCAAGGTATCGTCACTCACTGCAGCAACTTCTAACTTCTCCATTTTATGTACCAAGAAAGTTAAACATTGAATACTACAAGTACATATTAATAATTCACAATAGACTTTCCTCTTGAGCTGAAACATGAATATAAAGAAAATTATTCTTTCTACCCTACAGGCACCCAGAATTTCTTGTAATCCTTTGACTTGAACTATGAACTGCATCTTAGTTGGACTAAGACATGAGACAATTCCACTCTTCATTAAACTTGATTTTTATCTGATGTTGTAGATGTATGAGTAAAACCCTGGCCCAACTATTTTAGTTTCAGCATAGTCATACAAGCTTAACTTATGCCCTGCTAACATAAATAGACAAGGTAATCTGTGTTATTTCATGAGAAGAAATGAAGCAGAAGAAAAAAAATGAAAAGTTTATAACTTGTAATTAGATAATGTGACACCTGATAAAAGAAAATTGTATTAGTTATTTAGAAAGCACAAAAAAGACAGGCATCAATCTTTAACAAAAGCACTTTGTGCCAAATAATGCAGAACATGTATTTACCCAAACATTAATTTTGGAACATCACACAAATCTAAAGAACTGACCTTCCAAATATTGGGTTTAGTTGCTTGGGAATGTAATTGTCTCGATCTTTAATTTCTGTTTTCCCCAGTCTGACCACAATATAAGGATCAGATTTACCATCTGGGTCAGCTGGGCTGAGATTAAATGCCTGCAGGAACAGAAACAGTTATCCAGGAAATGCCAAATGTTAGAGGTGCTTTTCAAAGGCAATACTGAAGCTGTCTTTGAATACAAGGAAGATATGAGGGGCCCAGGAAGCATGTACCATGGGCCTCCTCTAGTCTCCTTCTATTTTATCCCAAATAGGGATACGCTCAAGATAGCAATGACAGCTCCCCAGGAAGCATGATGCAAATGCTCTGGCTCAGTGTATAATCAGTGGGAAAGGATGTACATGCCTCTTATGCTGCCTGCTCCCAGTGCATCTTCATTAGATGTAAAGGGTCTGTGTTCAAAGTTCACAGAGAAAGGAGGAAGAGGAGGAGATGGGGAGGAGGAAAGATGCATGCGCAACTTGACCCCTTTCCCGTATTTCTGCCATACTTCCAACAGCAATTGCACCTGGGCACTATCTGACCACACCTGGGCATGCAAAATCTGAGACCTTACTCTAAGCATCACCTCCAAGAGAGGCTCACTTAGTGGCAATAAGGAGGAGGACCCACAAGTTAAGAAGCAGTCTCCCCACCAAGGCTCACTACACACCAAATGTATTGTCTTTCCAGTGCCAACTTAAGTCTGTTTCCTTTGCCAAGGCATTTGTCAACTCCAATAGCACATGGGGGTGGTGGCGTTTCCAATTCTTTTTCTGCGAGTCCAGCTCCAGCCTGCTCTGCTCATGTAATGCCCAACATGTGGTCATCCAATCTTTCCTTGAACACCCTCACGGATGGGGCCTCAACCACCTCCCTTGGAAGCTCATTCCATATCCCAGGGGTCCTAACTGTCAGGAAGTACTTCCTGCCATCCAACATGAAGCCTGGTTACTTGAGCATTGTCCCATTGGAACATGTCCTGCCCTCCACTGTGGGAAAGAACAGATCAGGGCTCTCCTCCATATGACCTCCCCTCACATACCTGTAAGTGGCTAAAAGATTCCCTCAGAGTCTCCTTTTCACCAGGCTGAAAAGACCCAGTTCCCTCAATCTATCCTCACATGTCATTCCCCAACCCCCAACCTGGCTACCATTCTTGAGATCCTGCACTGAACTGATCCTAACCTAGCTATGTTCTTGAGATCCAGCATGGCATGGTGGTTAGAGTGTTGGACTGGGGACCTGAGAGTTCCAGGTTCTAGTTCCCAATCAGCCATGAAGCTCACAGGGTGACTTTGGACCACTCGGCCACTCTCAACATAATTTATCTCTCAGTGTTGTTATCGCAAGGACAAAACTGGCGTGGAAGAGGACTATGCAAGCTGTCTTGGGTTCCTCGTGAAAGAAAGAAGTCAGGATAGAAATACAACATAATAATAAAGACGAAACAGAAAATCCATACTATTTGAAAAAGGAATCTTGACATTAGCTTAAAGCTATAACGTGTGCTATTACTTACTGCCACGACATATATTCTGATTAGAACTTTCACTGAATGATTTGGAGGTAGACCTTGTAGAATCCTAGGCTGGCCTCCATCTCCCGAGTAACCCTCTTCTGGACTTTTGTATAAGCAGAAACAGCCCTGTCAACACACAGCATGCCCACAGTTACAAGCAGCAAACCCCAAATCAGAAAATGCAGACAAACTGTCAGGCATGCAAGCAGCATTTTGCAAAATGCATCCCTGGCTTTTATCACAAAGTGTCATCGATGCTGTGCTGCTAGTCCTCTGTTTCAGGATTGCGTCCTTTATTATTTCTAGGCCATTCCCAGCAAGATATTCCAGTTTCTGAGAACTAAATGTAACTGCGGTGGGTAGTCAACTATAGGTTGATTACCGATATTAATGCTCTGATATTTAATGCTCGGAACTATTAATGCTCGATATTCGAACCAGTTTATGAGGAGTTGTCCCACTTACTATGGTGAAGCAACTCCAGATTAAATCCCTGAACCTCTACATCCTTCTGCTAACCCAGTCCCATCAGGTGCAGTAGCAGTTTACTATACCTAGCAGATGGGAAACATACTGGCTATGCTTGAGTGGATTTTGACTGCTTTAGAAATGGATTTTATTCTACATCACCAGTGAGCCTGAAAGGCAGGTTGGCATGCAAAATATGTGTGTTGGCATAAGCTAGTAGCTTCTTTATGCAAAGTGCTCCAAGTGACTAATACCTTGTAGAAATACAGAAATTGCATAATTCTTTGCTCAAAATATAAAAGAAGTCACATGTGTGGAAGAAGAGTCCTGCTTGAACTCACTTCCTGCCACACGCCCATGCGAATCCTCACACGGGATGGACTTAGGGGGAAACGAAAGTGGGTCAGAGTCCAATGAGCCCAGTTGAAGAACCCAGATGGATCCCCACTCCCAGATCAGATTCCTCCCTAGCCTTGAGCTTACTGAATGTGTGAAAGAGGTATCAAGGCTTGTTTTCTCTTGTGCTTGGGAGCTGAATGTCATGTGGTTTGTCAGTCAACCAAGAACCACAAAATAAGTCACCACAGTTGACTGCAAAAATGTGAGGAAATTGGCCACATTACCAAAGTTTTCCCCAGCTTGGTGCTCCCCTGGTATTTCACACTTTAACACCCAGGATTCCTAGCTGTCAGCCATGCTTACTAGGAATGCTGGGAGTTCTAGTCCAACACCTCTCAAAGACACCAGGCTGGGGAAGGCTGTTTTACCACATTTGCATATTTACTGTTATTTTTATTTATATACTACATTTCTATACCACCCAGTAACCAAAGTTCTCTGGGTGGTTCACAAAAGCCAAAACTCTAAAACACAGCATGATAAAACATAAACCTTTAGAAGTTTAAAAAAGAATAAAACTAGCAGTAGGACAAATTCTGGAAATACAACAAAGCACATTTAAAAATTAAATTAGACATAAAAAGACTTGGGAAAACTTAAGGATTATCTCTTTGCACCAAAAAGAACACAATAAGTGCTCTGAGCAAGACATAGCTGAGAAACCCCACAGAAATGCATGCAAACTTTAGAAGATTATCAAGTAATACGGATTTTGGTGCAACATGAATTTCTATAGCTCATCTAGCAATTAATCCATGCTCAACAATACCTTAAATTTTCCTACTATCCTCTCCTCATAGTCACTGTGATCTTCATCACTCGATTTGCCACGGAAGAGTTCAAATGTTTTTACCCAGTCTTCAAAGTTGTTAAATTCACTCTCCAGGTCTCCATCATAGATCTTTGCAAAAAGATTAGACGAGGTTCAGCATTTCATGGTAATTAAAGGCCTCATTTCCTCAGGGGAAACACTGGCAGAACAGAGCTTAGATTCATTAAGGATGCAGTCCATGTTCGACAGAAGAAGTAGGACTTCTCAGGATGGCTGGGGCATGCTGGGAACCGCAGGACTTTTTTCCATCTAAACATGCGTAGGAATGCCCCCCCAAATAAATAATAATTGTGCCATGCAGAGCTGGTTGGCCTGGGTATTCCCATGTAAACACACCAAGCCATCTTGTGGTTTGGGCCACGCCAGTTCTCTGAACCAGATTGACAAATTAGCGGGACAGTCTCAATTGCAAACTGAGAAAGGATTGCCGTAACTCTACCTCCATGGTTGATAGTTTCGGACATTCCTCTTGCACTTTCTTCTTAATCAATTTATCCTTCTTCTTTTTGTCTGGTTCATCCTCAATGCTGAATGCTACGTGGCCAGTCTTCTCATTCGCTGCAAAGATAAACGGGCAGTTTTTGCAGTTACAATAGCTGCGTCAGAGCATGAACCTGAAGGCTGCCATCCTTCTGGAGTTCAAGGCAGATTTCAAGATTGCAAGCCAGACATTTACATATTTATTTATTTGATGTGCATCCCACCTTTCGACCATGAAGTGGCATTCACAGTGGCATTTAGATTCTCTTGAGCAAAAATAAGGCATCATTCAGATCCAACTTGGGGGACTTCATCAGGCCCATTGACTGAATATGGCTGAGGACGAGGTTCTCATCTTTCCAAGTTTATTTCCCATGCTCTAACCCTCTCCCCTGCCTCCCTTCTTTCCCCTGCCCTTCCACTGACAGAAGGAAAAGGCTTATCTCCAGTTTGCAGCATAGCAATAATGCGCATTTCCTTTCTGCATCAGATCATTAACCCCTTTCCCACTTTCGGTCCTGGAGGTGGGAATGGTACTTATGTCCCATCTGCTGATTTGTTGGAGCCAACGCAGAAGGAGTGTTAGAACAGGACAAGCACTTCCTGGGCAGGGGGCTGAACACAGAGCATGTGCTTGTGCAATTATAGTTTGATGGGCAGGCAGATGTGCTTCCTGATGGACAAACTCTCGAGAACAACCAACCCCAGAATAAGCAGAAGGAAGAACTGCAAGAAGGGTGGTACACTACAGTAAACAGATTACAGAGAGTTAGTCTGTTGAAGCAAAAGCAAAACAGGGTCTGTAACAATTAAGGATGCAATCCAATGGGTTGTACCCGTGATGCTAACAAGATTCTGAACTTCAAGGCTTACAAGCATCCAGTGCAGAGCAGGAAAAACAGAGGGATGATAGTCTTACTCCCTACTCATCCTGTTCTGCATTTCAGCCAGGTGGCCAATGTCAACCTGATAGCTACAATGCTTCAGCTGGGGATAGAAGGAGGTTGAAGAACTGCCAGGATACATAGCATTCTCCCGCCCTCTCCTGCCGCAGAAGTTGCTTCCTCGTCCCTTCTCTGAAGGCACCTTGGAGAAACAACCAACACAGTTCTTTCTCTGCTGCTTGCAGCGTGTTGGTGGGTGGGATCCACCTGCAGATTCCCAGCTCTGACGCTGCAGCTCTGTTTCTGACCTCAGGTCTGGGAATTCAAAGAGTCCTATGGACCTTTAGACATACTTCTGGGGCCCCAGGATCAGTTTCTAACCCTTTTATTATGGAATACATCTTCAGGGTTGAAAGTCCATTTTAGATACATGTAGTGTTATTCAAAGTTGCAGGTACACTATTTGGCTGGTGAAAGGTAAGAGGCAATGTTATTTTCAATACAGGAACAGATATATAGCTTTATGGAGCTTCACTGGCCCATAAAGACACTTCACTCAAGCGGAGATGCAAATTGCCTACATAATTAGATTTCAGCAAGCTCTCAGTTGTACCAGTGATTTAATGATTAAAATTCTAATCACCTGCAGCTTTCAAGGAGAACTGTAAATTAGCCTATATATGTGATTTGTCCAGCTCTTCTCCCATTAGCTGTCCTAGTATATCTACTCTGCAATGCCAGATGTGTAAGTGTAGAGTCAAAAAACAGATGTGGTGTCAGTGCCCTGAAAGCAGTGTGCAAGCATGCTTTTGTTATGGAAATGGCAACCATGGGGGAGCTTCAGCAAAACCAGAGTTATAGGAAAGGGGGAGGAAAAATGTAAAACTGCTCATGCATACACACGTAGCGCGCGCGCACGCACACACACACACACACACAATGGTCATAAGAACATAAGAAGAGCCATGCTGGATCAGACCAATGGTCCATGCAGTTCACCACACAGTGGCAAAACAGCTTCCTGCAGGAACCCTCAAGTGGGATGGGTAAAAGAATTCCACCTCCCCAAGCTCCTCAGCAACTGGTGTATGCAGGTACACTGCCCCTGTTAATGGAGGCAGCACACAGCCAGCAAAGCTAGTAGCCATGGATAGTCTCCTCCTCTAGAAATTTGTCCAATCTCCCTTTAAAGCCATCCAGGAAATGCCACCACCATTTCCTGTGGCAGGAAATTCTATCGTTTCGCTATGTGCTGTATGAAGTCCTTCCTTTTATCTGTCCGGATTCTCCTACCAATTAGCTTCATGGGGTCCTGGTAAGTACGGGCTACTAACTACCTTGGGAGGAAACGTTGGAAAGGATTGCAATGGAAAGGACGGGAGGTTAATTTTCATCCTAGGGGTGGAAACATGAAGGGGATTTAGCTGAACCTGTCCGCGTGTCCACGAGTGTGTGAGGAGCTGTGTAGCCAAGTCCTTGCCTGATGGCCATGCTCCCCCTGCACCACCTGCACGGAGGTGCATGGAAGAAACTGTCATACAAGAGCATGCGGTTCCTCCATGCAAGGGAGAACTATCCTTGGCCCAGTTCCTCTTGGTGCATCAGGCTCTTCATCGGATGGCCAGAGAAGGCGCTGGCAGCAAGGGGGAGCAAGAGGAACAGCAGTCCTCTACTCCAGTGCACATGGTAACATGGGGGATTTATCCTAGGCATGGGTATCCCATCATGGTAAGTGTAAGTCCAGCCTTGCAAAGCAAGTGCTTGCTGCTGACTCTTCTTCTTCATGGAGCAGCATGCAAAATTGGTGGCTAGCTGGATAATTGCAAAGAGTGAGGTGGATAACATAAGCAGGGACACCCAGGAGAAACAAAGAGGACCTCGTGCCATGGGATGAAGGACATGCCTCCTGCATGGGAACGCTCTACAGCGGGTGAGGCAATGCACATTAAAGCTGGATAAAGGCAAACTTTGCCCAAACATCTCCTTCAATTAATGGGCTTTCATCACTAAACATGAAAAACATAACATTTTATGTTAATAAAGTGCAAATATTTACTCACTGTTCCCTGGTTTTCCATCATTGAAATCAAGCACTTTTGCCTGTCAAAATGAAATTAAAAAGCACAGTCAGAAACTTAAAAGAAGCATTGGTGGAGCATTACACTAAAGCCATTTCAGTTGCAAGCCAGCTTTAATATATCAATTTTTGCTTATTAAGATTTGCACAAATCTACCTCCACACAGATTTGCATCTTCATGTTTTAGCCTATGGGAACGCAAACAAGGTTAAACAAACTTTGAGAAAGAATTTGGAGAACTTCCGTGAGCTCCAACAGGAATCTCTCGATGCAAATGCACTCAGACAAAAAGAATTCTGTGGCATGTTAAAGAATGCTAACAGATTTACTGTAGCACAAGATTGTGTAGACTAAAGTCCATTTCATTAGGTGTACAATGTGTGATCCTGAGTTGGAGACACATGTGCATGCCACTTATGAACACGTGTGGGTCAAAGCACCATGGCAAGCAAGATGTAAACACTCAACTATAGACATAAACCTACTTTCTGTGAACTTCAGCAAAAATTCATGACAGAAAAATCTTTTCTACACTTTTTGCTTCTGAGGTTTTGTACTTTCCCTGCTTCCACCAATATAGAAACAATAATTGTGCAAAACCTTCTTTTCCTTGCTTGCTTGAGGAAAAGGGAGAGATGTAGGCCCATAGTTCTTTTGGTTTGAATGCTCAGGCTGTGCGTGACATTCCTTATGTACCGTAAAGTTATCAACAAGCTTGATAGAAGCCCAAGCAAATTGAAAGTCTTCTTGTAAACCTTGAAAATTTACAAGAACAGCAACAGTTAAGAGGACAATAATCTAAGGAGCAGAGTCCCAAAACAACCCAGTGAGGACTGAATGTCTTCAGTGGACATTGAAAGCTGACAATTGAGGTGGTGGTGGGAGTGTAGTGTAGTGGTTAAGAGCATGGGACTGGGACCCAGGAGATCTGGGTTCTAGTCCCCGCTCAGCCATGGAGCCAACTGGGTGACCTTGGGCCAGTCACAGACTCTCAGCCCAACCTACCTCACAGGGTTGTTGTTGTGGGGATAAGATGGAGGAGGAGGAGATTTAAGCTGCCTTGAGCCCTTTGTAGGAAAAAGGCAGGATATAAATTGGAAAAAAAAAATAAGTGAGGATGGAGTGGAATGAGGCAGGAAATCTGAATAGCCACACTCCATCCTGCAATATTTTGTTGTAATTCCCACTTCTAACCATACATCATCTATAAGAAAGCTGCCATTTATATATGAGAAGGTTTTAAGAGACTTACCTTTTGGACTTTTTGTACAGAAGCATAATATTTTGACCACCAATCAATAACATTTTCAGCAGATTCATCAGCTATAGTTCTCTTTTTTCTCTTCGTAGAACGCCGAATTGATTTTCTAGAACCCTAGGAAGGAAGAAGTTTGGGATGCTGAAAACAACTATACACCTGTCCTTCCCAATCCAGAGGTCCTCCTCTGTGTGCATGCTTCTTTGGGAAACTGTGTGCACACATATTTTGGAAGAGCAAATCCAACATTGTGTTCTCCTTGCATGGAAAATAATATAGGATCCCAGTGTAACAAAAGCATCTCATGCTGAAGGAGATCAGCAGATCTCCCATTTCTGCATGAGGAAAGATGCTGCTCTCACCTGTATCTTAAGATGAATGTGGAAATACACATTGCATTAAAATATCACACACAGAAGGCCTTCTGCATGCCACAAATAGGTGAACCATGGAATTCAGTTCCACAAGATGTAGTGGATGGCTTTAAAAGGGGTTGGACGCATTCATGGAGAAGGCTATCAATGGCCACTAATCCTGATGGCTGCCTGCTCTCTCCAGCTTCCCTCCTTCTCCTTCTTAGGCCCAGATACGCGCAATGCTGGGTGACAAGGGCAGGAGAGTCCTGTTGCACTCACTTCCCGTTTGTGGATATCCAGTGCAAAACAGAGCTGTATCTTTTCCCCTTTGTGAACTGGACTCCTGCTCTTTATTTCATAGTCTGACTAACTCTCAAACTGAGATGCATCAGCATTTACAGAAAACCCTGTTGCGTCTCCAAAACAAGTCATGAATCAAGGAGGCTTGTAGTCATAACAGGCACTAAGATATATAACATGGAAGAAAACGCTTTGTGTAACAAGCACTGTGACTTATAACATGGAAGAAAATGCTTCATGTAGTAGACAGTGCAGAGTTCCAAGCTGAAGAAGCCAGTGCTTGCAGTACTACCTACTTTTTCTTTCCCATCTTTTGTAGGTTCTGAGGTAGAAGCTGATGTAGGCCTCGGAGATGCTGGTTCCAGTGGAGGTGGTGATGACACAGGGGGTACCGCTGGCTCAGGCTCGGGGATTGCAAAGGCAGCCGCACCATATTCCACATCAATGTAGACATGATCTGTTGGAGGCTGTTGAGGCTGCGGGGGCTGAAACTGCTCTGGAGGGGGTGAAGCTGGAAACCAAAGAACATGTAGAAATGGATGGGACCATGAGTAGGTAATGCTGTGCAAGCATAGCCAGAAAAAGGCCTATAACTCCCTGCACATTCCAACCAGCGTTTTTAGCCCTAATCCTAAACTTGCAGAGGATATTGCAATAAGATAATGCACTTAGCACGCTACATATTTTGCTATGTATGGGTGTGAATGCAGGACTGTGAAGCTGACAGGAAGAAAACTGATGTGTTTGAGACGTGGTGCTGGAGGAGAACCTTGTGAATGCCCTAGATCAATAGAAAGAGAAACAAGTACATCCTAGATCAAATCAAATCAAAATGGAACTTCTCCTATAAGTAAAAATAACAAAACTCAGGCTGTCAAACTCTGGGCACATCATGAGAAGGGAATGTTCCTTGGAGAAGACAATTGTGTTAAAGAAAGTTGAAGGCAGAAGAAGGAGGAAAGGATGATCAAAGAAGAGTTGAGTCGCAGCAACAGCAGTGGTGTATTATTTATTTATTTATTTATTAAAACATTTTTATGCCACCCCATTCGCCAAAGCCTCGGGGCGGCTTACAACAATAAGTTAAAAATAATTATAATATTAAATTAAAAAAATATAAACATTAAGTTAAAAATACAAAAATACCAATATAAAATAAGCCTCCCTGGCCAGATAAAATCCAATAATATTAACAGTTAAAATGCCACTTAAATAAAAAGGTCTTTGCCTGGCGCCGAAAAACAAATAACGACGGCGCCAGGCGGACCTCTCTGGGGAGCGCATTCCATAACTTAGGCACCACCGCAGAGAAAGCCCTCCTCCAAGTACTTACCCTCCTAATATCCTTCATGGAGGGTTCCCGGAGCAGGGCCTCTCCCTCTGATCTCAAGGGGCGGGTGGGCATATATGGACATAAGCGCTCCTTCAGGTAACCAGGACCCAAGCCATTAAGGGCTTTATAGGTCATCACCAACACCTTGAATTGGGCCCGGACTTCAATGGGGAGCCAGTGAAGCTGACGGAGGACTGGAGTCATGTGAACATAACGCCCAGTCCCTGTCAGCAGCCTGGCAGCTCTATTTTGAACCAATTGAAGTATCCAGACCATCTTCAAGGGCAACCCCATGTAGAGCGCGTTACAGAAGTCAAGATGGGAAGTCACCAGCGCATGTAGTGAAGCCAGGACCTACAGGGATGCAGCACAAGCACTTTCTAACTAGGAATAACATGAATATCATTTGGCACCTCTCTCAGAATCTCCTGATTCCTCTGGGCTTAGCTGCAAGTCTCACAATAGTTCTCTCTGTGTATTGAATTTCCCCAACAACAATGGACTTTTCCCTGTGGTCAGGGAAGGTATTTCGGAGTGGCTTGGTCTTGAATGATCAATCCAAACCCATTAGCTTCACAAACAACCCTCTTCTGGTGGCAAAGGAAATGGATGAAATGGGTTTTTTTGATATGGACCCATGCAGCTGGTGGAGTCTTTGGAATGTCCTTGGGGACCTGGCTATGGGGAGTATGCCTACAGTTCAAAATCCAGCACTGTGCCACTGCTCAAGAGTCAGCCACTGGTGCATCTGTTAGAACAAGACCACCAGGATCTCAGACAGAAGTCCTCCCTGACGTCCCTTAAGTGGAAAATCCAAGGACCAAACCTTGAATTTCAGTGTACACCCAAAGCCAACATAGGCTTATATGATTATGCCTTCAGAAAAATGGACTGCAAATATCTAGGGGGAATTACAGTTGATTCCTATTTAATTAATCTCTTGGATAATATACAGAGATGTTGAAGGAATCCTGTTACAGTGGGTCATATTGTTGCCAGACTGAATATTGATTGCATTTGGTTTATGGCAACCCACTGCAATAAAGCATGCCATATTAAAAAATAATTATTATTATCCAGGTATTTCTCATGAGAGTTGCTCATGTAATAATATATCAGTATAAGGCTCCGGAGTGCAGTTCCTTGGCACATCCTACCTTTGTCTGTCTCTACAATGTCAGCTTCTTTTGCTGGTGAAACAAGCACTTCTTCAGGCTTATACAGAAACTGCTTGAGGCAATTGATGGTGTGGGTCCCAACCAACGTGCTGCGGCCGAAGGCTCTCCAGTCAACCACACAGATGCTGAGCGGAGGGTGCAGCAGTTCATTTTCAGGCAATTCCTAGCAGAGGAAAAGAACAAGTCTCCATAGCAATCCATGATTTGTCTTCTTGTTTCATGTCTATTAGCATTCGCTCAGGCGCTCACTGAGAACATTAGCTTCACCTGAGATGCATTTTCAGTCCAGTCTGGAGAGGTATGGGAAAACCCGTGGGAACTTTTCAGATTATTTCTTCCCCAGGCTCCTCTGAAACTTCTGGACTTTTTTGAATAAAATTGGGGGTGGGAGGCACTATTATGCAAAACCTCCGTGGAATGAAATTAGTCAGGTTAGCCTAATAGCCATGCACTTTAAAAGTTAAGCCAAAACTATGCAGTTTATGTTTATCATAAAATTAACTAGAAACAAGGTCAGAGACTTCTCAATGAACATTAAAGTTCAAGTTTCTGGAAAGAAAACATCCTCTGCTATTACGATACTTTGGAATACACAGACATAATATTCAGTAAAAATCATAATACGATAACTGTTTGTGATACCAAGTTCTCACTATGGGAAAGCAGACCAGAGTCCAGGAACTGAGTGCGGGGAATCTGATGGGTTCCCAGCCCCAAAATTGATTCCTCACATCTCTCTAGGAGGTTTAAGCCTTCCTTCATCAGCCATGGTCTTGGTGCAACTTACACATCTCTTGGTGCCCATGGGAAGGTTCCCCCCAACCCCGCCACACACACACATACAATAACTGCTGGGACACAAAGGCTTTTAGATCTTCCTTCCTTCCTTCCTTCCTTCCTTCCTTCCTTCCTTCCTTCCTTGCCATAGCTCTTCTGACCATTTGCACCCTTGGCCCCAGTATTTAACTGGATACAAACAATAGACAATGTGCTTGCTGAGCATGTCATTCATGCTCTGTGCAGCGAGGCATAAGTAAGCCTCCCCCAGTCTGTCCTCTCAGCAACTCAAGGAGCATTGAATGAACAGAGAGCTGGACTGATCCAAAGTCAGACACTGAGCTTCAAGCTGGAGCCAGAACTGAACCCAAGTCTCCCCAGCCGTAGACCAATACAGGCCATCCCTAAGTTATGAACATCTGAGTTATGAACAGCCCATAGTTAGGACTGAGCTGCCATAAAGTTTACTGATTTTTTAAATTACTGCAAGAAATTGTCGTCACCATAGAGAGAGATCCGACTTACATACGAATTCGACTTAAAGACAAATTTCCATTTTCTCAGGAACAGAACTCATTTGTAACCTGGTGACTGCCTGTACTTTATTTCACTGTGGAATGCTGGATCTAGCCAAATTTGCCAAAGATGGAGGACAGGAAGGCAAAAGTTGCCTCCAGAGCATCTCCTGCCAGCTTCAGCCCAACAGTGCACAGAAATCTTGGAAGCCTTCAAGTCCTGAGATCACTGAGCAGCAAGGGCACAACTCTGTCAATTAACTTTTCTCCTGGCCCTCCAAGTAACTCAAGACTCTACCTAATGGCTGAGTCTATATGAAACAGCCAACTCTACTTCATCTTCTCCAGTTTTTGTTTTTTTTTAAGGAATAAAATTAGCTGAGCATTGCAAATATGTACCACTTCAAACCAGTCTGTCAGGACATTAAAGTTTGGATTGTTTTTGTAGCTCTGGATAACACACGATTTCACTCCTTTGCTGGCACATTCAATGAGAACTTGTGGCCGATCCACAGAGAGGAGCTGCACTTTCTTGAGTTCACGAAGGCCCCAAAACAGAACCTATAGCAGGAAAAGTAATAATACTTAATATGCATGTAACCAAGCTTCATGAGCGCTATCAGAGTAATGCGAACAACAACTTTAAGGCAGGTCAGTATTATTGTTCCCATATTACAGATGTTAGAATGAAGAAGAGAGGGGATAAATTTCATTGAATGAAGACTGGTTTTCATCAGAATTACCTTTTTTCCATTTTTTAAAAAAGGGATTGATTTATTTAGCCAACTTACAAAAACAGTAGAGAAGGCACAAGTTAAAAATAAAATTTCTTGGCATATAAAGACTGCTGCCTCCAGTTCCCATGATTAAACAATGTTTAATCATGTTTGTAAGCAAATAAGAATGAGTGCATGGCTTCCAATTGCTTGACAGCTTCTACGTTCTGTTCCTGGGGTGTTCTCTGACATATCTCAGGTCGGGATTCTGGGTTGCTGAATGAAAAACAACCCTGAATTTTAACCTGTGGTTTGTTCCTGGTTAAAAGTTCAGGTTGTTTCTCTTTCAACCAACCAGAGTTTCGGGTTCAAACGTCATGGACAACAACCCAGGAATTGAGTGTTTTTGAATTCTTTAGTAAAACAGAAGCAGGCAAGCAAGCAGAAACCAGCATTCTCACTTGCCCCCATATGCTCAGGAACAACCATGGTTGTTTTGGGTCATTCAGTGTGCTGGTTCACATGATCACCAGAGCCCACCAGGGCTTATTTAAGCCACAGTGAGTTGCAGTGTGCAGGCAGTCATTCTGACTATTCAGCTCCCAGTGCAGGTTGCCATGGTCTCTTGAGACATCCAAACCTGGGCAGCAGGGGTTCCCGGAGGAAGGAACACTCCCAAATATCCCTACAACAAACTATAGAAATAGAATCATAGAATAGTAGGATTGGAATGCGCCAGGGGACTTGGATGACATGACAAGCCATGACTGGGCTTGAAGTTGTAATACAGCATCTACAGGCACCATGGGCTGCAGGGAGCCAGGCCAGTAACTGCATAAAATAAGCCCATTTACCTGCAAGGTGTTTGTTTGTTGGAGAATTGGCCTTGTTTCTAACAGAAGATACATTTGTACATGACTTATGGGTGGTCAGCGGATCCTTAGTGAATGATGCAGGTACACTATTCTTCATTAACTCACCTCTACTCTGTATTTACTTAATACAGGTCTGATGTTGGCTGGGACTGGATAGATTTGACTAGCATCTGCAGGATCCACAGGTGGCAGGTTTTCAGGGCCAGAATCAGGGACCTGTAAAATGAAACCCTCTCAGTCTTTCATGGTTTGGCTAAATACCTTGGAGATTATCCAGAAATTCTCACCACAAGCAAGTCCACCACACAGATATAGAGGATACGGTCATGGTTTGTAAGGATCCATGATTGCTTTTCTATTTATACCTAAGAAAGGATGCTTGTATCACATGCAGAGGATAAGACAGGTCTACTGAATGGTCATTCCTTATTCTTCCTTATTATTTCCTTATTATATAGTCTGGCATTTTAATACAGTCGTAGTCTATACAGCAGTGACAGGAATGCTTCTGGAATAATGTTTGCCATTTTAAAGAGCAATGTGGAATCATCAGTTAGGGTTGGCTTGCTCCACATTCACTCCCATCTGCTGAACAGTAAGATCCCGGAGTCTTTTGGGCATCCTCTTTGTTTCCTTTTATTGTTCCTAAAATTAGTCAGAACCTTTGGAAGTTTGACAGCATTAAAAGGCTTTTTGCTGTACATAGAGCAAATGTTTGGGTACAAAATCCCTGGAAAGGCCATGTGTGTGCATTCCTGAATTACCAAAATCAACTGGTTGAAGCTAATGGCCTAGAGAAAGAAATGAATTTCCCACCTGCTGAAACATTTTCAATGACTTGCTGTCATCTCCCCACCTTCACATGCCTAAATCAAAACAGTTCTACAGAATTTCAGGTTTTAGTCATTTAACTCTCTTTGCCAGCATTTATGAACCATCTTTCTATGAAAAATAAACAATCTCAAGACACTTTACAAACAAAAGTATAAATGACGCTAGATTAAAACAATCTTAACAAGAAGATGAAACAGGTGAACAGCAGTGAAAACAGCATGATAAAAGCCATTAGCAATACTAGACTAAAAGAGCCATTCTATCCTAATTTCTGTTGAAAGTGGGCTAAGGATACAGGCAAAGCTGCTAGGCCATCAACAGCGAGGTGCATCTACGACTGCAGAGGTCCCTAGAATACCGATAAAAAATACTACGGTGTAGGTGTACCAATTTTATGCACACCAGCAGCAAGGGCAGAAATGGGGCATTCCAGGACAGTGGTTTGCATACAAGGAAAACATTAATTCATTGAAGTTCTCCAGATTACACCTCAAAGTCTCATGTCCATATCAGATAGTTCTGATAGTTATCTGTGTGCATCTTTTCATGTATATTTCTTGCATGCTTTCTTCTCCCATTGATTATCATGCATTTAATTGATGGGAGCAGAATGTAGTTTTCAAAAGTATACATTATATCATGCACATTGTTCAAAGGTAAACATGCTGCCAAACACATTTGGGAAGAGGGTGTCCATGAATCACATGACAAGCTCAGAAATATACAGACGTTGACCAAAGATTGCATTCAAGTCCTTGCTCAGTTCGGAATGAGAGAACTAAGTAAGACCTGAGCAAAATGAACTAAAGGCACAATCCTGTTGGGATACCTGGAACTTTTTAAATGAAGAGGATTAAAGGGTCCCTAGGCAGGTCACCATGGTGCTGCCCGTGTCTTGCAAAGCATTTGCACAGCTAATTTCAGCGTTCTACACTTTGCACCACAAGAGTGTATGGAAAAGTGGCTGAGATGCCAGCAGCCAAAATGTTTTGTGTTGTGGCTCTGAGTGTCTTCTCCCCTTTCTGCTCCAGCCCCACCCCCCAGATATTCCCATCAAGGGTACACTGAGCATGGAGACTCAGCTACAAAATTTGGAAATGCTTTTCTGGCCTCATTGCTGGGACTCTCCCCCTGCCCATCCCCGCAAAAAAATAAAATAATAATCCTATTGTTGCCTAGGCACTATCTAGTGGCCAAAGGATTACACTGTGAAAGAAACGTCCCATGCACCCTTGTTCTCGCGGTTTCTTTGAACCCACTGGATCCATACATGCCTTTCTCCCCAACATGCACCCAGGTCAAGCCCTTTAAGTATACGGACCTGAGTTGGCATAGCTAATTTCCTTTCCCTTGGTTTCAGCAGGAAGGAAAAATGAGCAAATGAAAAACATATTTGGATTATACTAGGACCATCCATTGGTGAAATCATATTCTAATCATTACCAGCCCCAGATGGAAGAGTTTCAGTTATAAAATTAAATTGTTTCTCATGGAAAGGTTAAGAAATGGATAGACATTCTTTGGGGATATATAATTTTTGCTCCTATCAAATGAGCTCCATCTGGATTTTTATCAATTGAGATAAGGTGAATGGTGGCTTTTACAGTGGTACAGAAAAGCTGTCGAGCAGCTTGCTGGAGCACACAAAGGAACTGCCTCAGTATATTGGAGAACTACAGCAATAAAGGACAATAAATCATATTATATATAGGACAGCCTTCACTGAGAAGAATCCCAATGCAGTGGCAAAGAAAATAGAGAAACAGTCTTCCAGACCTCTGAGAACTCATAAAAGAAATGCTAGTTAATCTGTAGGGAGGCTCACATCAATCTATTTCCAGTCCCTTTTAGTTCTGCGCATATTTGCTCATAAATCTGCTCCACCCCATTTCCACAATAATCAGTGCTTTTTATAAAACAATCCATAGAATTCACATTTAATTAATATATACCTTCATACTATTTTCTCTCCAGAGATTTCAAAGAATGCAATCCTTCTGACCTTGGGAGGGCAGTTTTATGATATTGCAGATATTTCTCTCAATAGGAGGAGACAGGATTCTGCCGTCAAGGCAGGAGGCTTCAGACTAAGCCCTAAACCCTAACCCTACCTGCCCAGGCTTCAATGTGATAGCTCTGGTACCCCACAACCTCAAGCATTTTCTCACAAAATATGCATCCTGAAATGTATGTAATATCTTTCTATGTATTTATTTTGGTTCAGAACATCACCAGAACACTCAGGAAGGCCAAAATACTGCAGATAACTATGTTTTGATCTGTGTAATGGTCCGGGATGCAGATCGGGTTGGTCGGTTTGCACTGGAAATTGTGATTATCAGGTTTTTTTAGCATCCCTATTAATTTGCAATAGGGGATGCAGGTGGCACAGTGGTTTAAACCGCTGTGCTGCTGGGCTGGTGGATCAAAATGTCGCCGGTTCGAATCTGCACAATGGGGTGAGTTCCCGTTGCTCCGTCCCAGCTCCTGCCAACCTTGCAGCTCGAAAGCATGCAAATGCAAGTAGATAAAAAGGTACCACTTCGGTGGGCAGGTAACAGCGTTCCGTGCACCTCGGTGTTTGGTCATGCCGGCCCCATGACCACGGAGACTGTCTGCGGACAAATGCTGGCTCCTTCAGCTAGGAAACAGGGATGGGCACAGCCCACAAGAGTCAGACATGACTGGACTTTAATGTCATGGGGAAACCTTTACCTTATTAAGTTGCAAAGAGTTCACCTGAGGGACTACTTCTTCTCACATTCCCTGCAAGATATGAATTCCTTAAAAAAGGCCCAACCTGGAGTGATTCTGTGCACACACAGATCCCACTTTTATGAGATTCAGCAACTGGCTACAGTGCTTCTCAGTGGCTGATTTCAGAGAACACAATAGTAGAAGAATAACAACACAGCTGTTGTTAAACTGTGGAATCTTGTCAAAACATGGATTATTGTGTTGTGTGAACTCCAGCTCTCTAAGAAACCATAGTTTGTTGCCCACAAACAACCAAAGAAGAAAACCTATGGTGTGTTATTAAGAGAATGGGGCAGGCCAGTCCAGCAGATTTTAACTTGCCAAGCAGATTCCTCTGACATCCCCAGATTGAGTAGAAATGGCATTGCCTTCTTGCAGAAGGGCAGCAGAGGGGTGGCACCTGGCCTTTCTCAGCAGGGGGTTCCAGAACTTTGGCGCATCTCACTGATAACAACTGCACCAAGAGAAGGGCAATTTTAAGAAGTGGCTGGTCTGGTCAGCTCCATCACTGATGCAGTCTTATGTGGGTGGCCAGAACCCTCTAAACTCAGAGGATTACGGGCATCCCATGCAGAGTAGAAAGAACGTGGGGCAAAGGTCACCTCTGCGTTTCTGCTCTGTGAAGCAGGGGGACAACTGATCTCCACCATCTAACTGTGGCACCTCAGAGGAGGAGGAAAGGAGGTTGAGGGGCTGCCAGGATCCATGGGATCTTGGTGACAACTGGTGATTTCTCCTTTCTGCCTGCAGCAAACATGGCTCTTTCCATATGAGGTACATGGGGGATCCAAGGGTGGATCCCCAGCTCCAAGGTTGGAGAGATTTTCTGACCTCAAAGCTGGGTTTCTGAAAAATCTATGGCTGTCTAGATGCTGTTTAGCTCTGCAGAATTGTTCTTCCTGAGAAGCTTTGCACTTTTTGAAAGATTGATGTATGTGGAATTGTACTCCTCCTTGACACAACTGCAGGTTTGGACAATGATGCAACTGCCATGCTCAAGCCCTCCACATCAGTGGATCTCCTCATATGTAAGCAGGTGCAGCTAGGGTTTCATGTGGCAGATGAATGCTTGCTCACAATTGTGTGATTGTGTACCTTTAAGCAATGGCAGAACATTTTGGGAAGAGGAGGTATAGGAAGGAATAGATAGAAGGAACACCTCCAACCATTAGATGAGTCTGTTCCATATCCTTATTGGTTCACTAAGGTTATCTTATTATTTTGTCTTGTTATTCTGTTGCTTTGTCATGAGAAAGTTTACGAAAAGAACAGATCTTTGCTGGAGGCCTCCTCTTTTGGTTTAGCTTATTATTCTCCCACAAGGTCTGTTCCACTAAGCAAATATTACAACTGGAGGCATCCTGTTGTGATACCCACCTCTCCTCCATACATTCACCAATAAAACATCGATAAGGAAATTATCCTAAGCTCACCTGCAGAAGCTCAAATGCAGCAAGAAGATCTCCTCCAGAAAGATTCCCACAGTGGACTGGATGATAAGTGAGTTTTGGCGGCTGATATTTGTCACCAGCCAGCGTAATTACAGGGACAGCCATCGTTGATCCAATATATTCAGATTTACCCTACAAGTTAAAAAAGATACACACAGGATGGCATAATTTATCTGTATGTTCTACAGGTGCTTTGTGGTTTCAGGACGGGGCTTTGGAACATTGTTGCTTCACTCAGCAGAAGAGGGTTCCCAGATTAAGCAAGCCTGGCTTAGCGCGTTTTGACATTAAGTGGTATAATAAGCATTACCATGTAAAGACCTCCCGCTGCTGTAAGACTATTAAGCCCAAAGTGTGTAAAATTATCTAACTGCACTAGAATACTGGCCATCTGATGCGCTGCAATTAACAGGAGTTGGGGATATACAAAAGAACTATTTAGTGACTTGGCCCAGTTGCAAAAGGACACATTTAATAGTGCTTAGACAATGGAATTTCTGCAGGTGCAGCTTCTGTGCTAAGCACATTTGGAACCCTTCTGGGCACAGAGGTAATAAATGTGTGTGTGGATATTGTCTGGTGATAAAACCCATAATGGGAATGAGCGGGACTTCCATTAGCCAAGGTTAAATGTGCAAGAGTTGTTTCCCATGTAAAACAATGTAAAATATATCAGGAAACAAAATGGAAGCAAAGCTCTGTGACACTCAGCTAGTTTGCGCTGGTTCCACTTCATCATCCAATCCAACTCTGTTCCAACCAGTCAGGTTCTCCTGGTCTTTGTCCCAAAACCAGCCAAAGACAGCTATGCCTGCTCTACGCCAGGAGCCCAGTACCAATGAAATCCATCTTTCTTAAGCTCCTTTCCCTTCTTGCACAGAAGAAGTATATATTATACTGAACAAACCTCATTATGCATAAAGTGTACATTGTCCTCGGCACTGGGCAATGCAAGGAAAGGTCGCGCATATGCATGCATGTGTTCCTTTAAAAAATGTCCTGCATCTGCTATATATAGCGGAAAATCTTAGCCAGGTTTTAAAGACAGCTTAATTTGAAACTAAATAAAAAGGGGGAGTGATCTTTACCACAGCATCATCATCATAGAGCTCAATAACAATCGCTGGAGGGAATTTGGCAATTTCTTTTGCATCCCCGTGAAGCAGGATATTATTAAACAGCAGCATCTGATTCCAGGTGGGAGACAAAGTCTGTTGAATGATCTGAAGGACAGAAAGCAGTAAAGGTTTTTTTGTTTTGTTTTTTTAAGCCAGGGAAATCTGCACACAATTTCGGTCATTCTTCTGCAATTTGTGCAAATTTGCATAAATCGCCTACATTTGAGGAAATTGCATAACCTACACATTTTTTTTGCAAATGACCAAACAGATTCATGAAGTTTGCACAAATCAGAAATTAAATATCAGAAAATTCAGGGTGGTCAAAGTAGGGAGTGTGTCTATGCAGCGAGCGAAGCATCTTCCACTCTTGTCTTGCTCAGTGCTACAACCAGCATAGTGACAAGAGCAATAACTTGACACTAATGAGTCATCTCTGATTTTCACAAATTGCACTAGAGATATGCCGCATCCAGCTGTCCATTTGTGCAAATATTTCAAGCCTGAAACAAAACCCCGACTCTGCCCCTTTTTTCCCATCGGAAGTTGGATAAGCGCAATCAAAATGAGTTTTCCGGGGTTGTGCCTTCTGGCTTGACTGGTCCGGGTTTACTCCAGCTCATCTCTCCTTGTGTTCTTGTATGGCATGAGGCAGGAGGAGGGCTTCCCTCCATGCTATCATTCTCAGACATGCTCGGCACACGCCAGGAGATCTTCTCCGTGGCATGAAATGGTTATTTGCTGGTGTGGCTTAAAGACATTTCAGCTTCCCATCTCTCCACCCTGTAACTGTTGGATTCATCCTGAGTGGGCTGTACTTCCTAGGAGGTATTTGAGGGTAACACCTAAACAGTATTTTGGCCTGAGAAAAGAGAGGCCAGAGCTGGGGAGGTTTCTGTGGAAGAAGCATTGTTGAAAGAAAACTGAGGTTTGCTTGGGAGGCTGAGATTGTGGCGTGCAGTCCACCCACTCTGAGACACACATCCCCTTCACAGAAAAAGAGCAACCCCTCCTTACCTTTGTGGTCTGGCAGTGTGACACAAATGTCACTTTGGCAAAGGGATCTGAGAGTCCGCTGCTGTCGGCTGCAATAAGGCTCCTGGCCTGATACATGTGAGCTCTCAGCTGGAAGATATTCTTGGCTGTGTAAAGACAATAGAGAGAAGCAATAGAGAGTTGGGTGGACCACAGAGGTGCATTCTGCCCCAGCAGAAGGTGTGGGAGAGGATCAACGAGTTTGAAGGGCCTCGAAGGTCATATAGCCTTCGAGGCCCTGGAGATTCGGGAGATCTACAGGCATCGCATCCCTGAGAGGCGGCCATCCAGCCCCTGCCTGAAGTCCTCTGGGATGGTTTCTAGGCAGGGGCCACCGACATCCAAGGCCACCCACTGGACGGTTGAACAGCCTGCACTATCTTCTTCCTAATGTTGAGTCAAAAATTCTGTTCTGTTTGAACAATCGGTCAACATTCTGCCCTCTGGAACAGCAGAAAAGGGATTCTTGGATGGCCCCCAGAAAGTCAAACAGTCAAGTTGTAAGAGCCAGTGCAATGTAGTGGTTAGAGTGTTGGACTGGGACTCAGAGGAGCCAGGTCTTGGCCATCGTTGGGCCATGAAAGTCACTGAGTGACTATGGGCCAGTCACTGACCTTCAGCCTAACCTACCGCACAGGGTTGCTGTGAAGGTGCAGTGGAGAGGAGCAAGGGGATAATGGAAGCTGCCTTGGGTTCTCACAGGAGAAAAGGAGGGACATTCAATCAATCAATCAATCAATCAATCAATCAATAAGAGCCAGAAATGATCGTCATTGTGGTGATCGTGGCAGCCCCTGATGATCCTTGTGACAGACCACATCCGCATAAAGGTGTCAAAGAAACACACATCTCCAAGCTGATTTACGGGTTGCTGCTTGTTCATGGTACATCCCAGCATTCAGTGGGACCGCTTGCTAAATATGTGTATATAAAGCTACAGTGCTAGGGAGTGTTAAGACTCCTGTTTGGTTTTACAGGAAACTTGACTTGCAGCCATTCCTGAGCCCCAGCGCATGGCTGTCCCAGTAGCCATGCTGTTGCGGCAGTCTTTGGATACACCACTGCATACTATCCTGAGTGTGAGTTAATGCTGACATTGTGGGAGCCTGATTCAGTGCATGGTGCATAAGACCATTTGGTGTGCAGTGGAAGTGGGTGAGAGACATCATATGATGGGCATGTCATGAGTGGAGTAGGATGGAGCCGGGGGTCAGACTAGATGGCCCAGGAGGCCCCTTCTGACTTGTTCTGTTTCTATGTTTCTATATTAGGCACATCTACACCCCGCATCTACTTCTCAAAAAAATTGTTGCACGATCAGATCCTGGCAGAGGAATTCAGATTTGAGGAGGGGGGGGAGAAACCCTCAGAATTTATGAAATATTGAAACAGCAACAATGCTTTCTCTCTGTTCCTTAAGATCCCTTCCAATATTGCATCAGTGATGCATCAGTTGGTGGCTTCTTAATCCACCACTGTGGTAATGCTTGGACGGTCTTGGTGAAGCCAACTGCTTGGCTCTTTTCCATCCAACCACCACACTTCCTCCCTTGTATACAGACAATGAAGAGAAAAGCAGGTACATGGTTGGCAACACACATGTGAGTCTAGACTTCCCAGTGTAATCACAGAAATACAGGAGAAAGCCATGGGAATGATCTTCCAAACCTGCTACAGCAAGGCATGAGGTACTGCTAGAAGGAATGACCTTACTAGAAGCATAAAGACTTATACACATGAACCCAAATACTGGATTGTTAAAAATCCTCAGACACCTTCATTTCTTCACTGAGAAGAAAATGCAATCATACCGTGGATACTTTACTAGTTTGCATCCCTTCCCCTATGTAGGTTGAAATTATGACTTACTTTTATACACCAGACTAACAGGCGGAGGAGTGGCGTGATGTCCCGCACTGGATGCTGAAGCTGTTTCTGTTTCATATCCAACGAATAAATTGTCCAAAATTGTGTGGGCATATCTGGCTGAGCCAAGCCAGAAGTAGGTATCGACTTTTCCATGTACATTCCAGCCTGGAGGGCGTTTTCCTGGCAACTGAAGAATGGATGTAACCAGAGGGTCAAGTGAAGACAGACACTCCCAATCTTTTTTTTTGAAAAGTTTCAACCAAAGATGCATTGTCCTAGAGCAGGATTTTAATTCCTAGGTTTGTATCCTCCACTTTCTCTAAGCGATCAGAAAGTGACATATGTTCCCATAAATCTCCAGAGCCCAGAGCACGGTCTGAAGGCACGTAAAGGAATCCACCATGCAGAAGCTGAGCAGGTCTGAGATTGGAGGAGAGACCACCTGGGAACTGACTGTAACCATATTTATTTATTTATATACACATACATACATACATACATACACACACTTGTATGCCATCAACTATTCCAACAGGGATCTCTAGTAATCTCAGTAATCTCTTTGATTACTGATCTCTTTGCATCAGTAATCAAAACGCAATTCTTAAAAGCAATAAAACAGTGAAAACAGCATATAAAAACAGCATAATAAATCAGTTTCAGTATCACAGTGGCCATTTAAAATAGGGCTAGTTAAAAGGGCAACCATATACATCATAAGCAAAAAAAATAAGTTTAAATCAGTTATTAAAATACCTGGTAAAAAGAAATGGTTTTTGCCTGGTGGCAAAAAGAGAAGAATGTTGGCCCTGAGGCTGATGTGAACGGGGTGGCATATAAGTCTGCTAAATACATAAATAACCTCTCTGGGGAGCCCATTCCATAAATGGGGTGGGGGGGTTACCTTGAGTTCCACAATGGGAAAAATATGGGCTATAAATAAAATAAATGGATAATGAATTTCACTGGCTGACCATTAACTCCTAACCTAACCCACTTCACATGGTCGTTGGCAGGGTAAAATAGAGATAAGGATACTGAGATTGAAGGGCTATGTATTAATTAATATCCTCAGCAAATAAATGTACACCATATATTTCTGACTTTAAAACTACTGAACTGCTTTTCACACCTAACACACACCACATCTGCCCCTCTGCTTCGTTTAGTGAGCAATAAGTTAAGTTCAGATGACATCTCCACTCAAATACACAGAAAGGCTGCCCACTGCTCCCAAACTTTAGTTCCCATTAAGGAAACAGCAAGCAACCGTCAGCAGCAAGAAGCAGCAACAATCAAACAATTATTCTCATTGGCAGAGGAATGACCAGTGGCTGACTATAATATTTAACATGATGTACGCCTGTCCCAAGACTGGAAAGCCTGCACAAGTGATCCCAGCGTTGAAGAAACGGGAGATCATGGCGGACCGCAGATCCTTTTGCATGTGTGGGACTTTGCTTCAACTTTCGACCTTGGATCAGGTGGGAGAGGGTCTCAGTGTAATGTAACGGCTAAGAATTTAGGACAGGGATTGGAGAGACCCAAGCTCAAGTCCCTGGTGTACCATGAAGCTCATTGGGCATCCTTGGGATAGTCACAGACTTCCAACCTAACCTACCTCACAGAGTTGTTGTGAGGATAAAAATGGAGAGGAGAAGGACCATATAAGCCACCCTAAGCTTAGTACAAGAGGAGAAAAGTCAGATCATAATTGTAGCAGCAACAACTTTCTTTCTTTTCATTGACAGTTTAGACCAGGCTGTCTCCATACCCTTAGAGAGTAAATAAGGCATTTAATTGTTAATTAATTAAGCTTATTTTCCACTACATTGGCCAAATGGCCTTCTATGGATCTATTCCTCCTATGGATAAACCCTTTCCAAGTCAGATTTGATGAATTTATTCAATTTCTCTACTGCCCAATAGTCAAAGCTCTCCGGGCAGTTCACCACCGTCAAACCAACTCCCAGTTCCAAGCTGAGGTTGGAAAAATGCTGAGCAGAACCAGCCCTTCCATTCAGCCCTTCAGGCAGCTGCAGGGCTGGGAGGCAGGAGTGGAAGCCCCCCAGGTATTCTCCTCTTGGAGGACTCAGTGGGCTGTGCCACGTGGCCTCCCTGCATTCCCTAAACCTCAAGTACGATGTACTACGTTTACTGTTTCTTTCCTCTCTTGTCAATGTGGTTGTAGCTGCGGTCAGCCGCCCTGAACCCTGGGCTTCCTATCCCTGCCCCTGGCTTGAGCACCGGGCCTTGCATCCGGTGGCACTGCTTTCAGCCCTGATGCGCTTCAGGGGCCTGGCATGCTGTGGCTACTCATATGGCTTGCATGAATAAGACCACGGGCGGCGTCCTTATCAGCTTCAGCTGGAAGATCCGGCGAGCAGGTTCTAGAAGGGCTACTGCCTGCTGGAGGCATGGGAGGGTTAGTTTAAATCAAAGTAGACAATCTGGGGAAAGGCACATGGTGGTGTCCCCAGTAAGGCTGGGGAGCTTATTTGGGTTTCCTTTGAAATTTTAAGGAGCTATGCAAGGTGCTGAACTACAGCTCTGCACTATGGTCTGCAGCTCTGTTTTTGTTGTTGGTGGTGGTGGTGGTGTTAGTTCTGTAACACCCATCGTCAAAGATCTCTTGATGGTTCGTAACAGGATATAAAGACAATAAAATAAAATACTTAAAACGGCATTTCAAACATTTAAAAATTAAATAAAATAGCATTAAACTACATTAAATAAAATGAAAAAGACCCGGTCAAGAAGAAAGGGGGGAAAAGGCACCTGGATAAATCCATCAGGCCCCTGAATGACCAAGGAAATCTTTAAAGGCCTTATCAAAGAAGGCTGTCTAAACCTGCTGCCAAAGAGACAACTAATTTGGCACCAGGTGGGCCAAAGCAGGGAGGTTGTTCCAAAGATGGGGGCCCACCACAGAAAAGCCCCCCCACATTTGCCATCCTCCAAGCCGCTCAAGGGGTTGGCACCTGGAGGAAAGCCCCAGAGGCTGAGCATAGTTCCAGGGTAGATCAAGATTGGGAGAAGAGGTCCAGCATGTATTGTTGTCCCTTTATACGGACTTCATATAGGACTTTATAGGTTAAGATCAGCACCTTGAATTGGTTCTGGAAGCATTCAGGCAGCCAATCCAGGTGGGCCAGAACTGGTTTTATAATTAAATTTCATACTGAAGGCCAGGCTGAACACAAGACCCCACGGGCACAATTAGCAGTGTGCATCTCTCTGTTAAAGCAAACAACAAGCTGGAGGGCCTGATCAAGACAGGGACTGTGGCTAGGGACTTTACCCCTTGTCCTCTGCCATGATCCCAATCTGTATGTTGCCCTTGGCTATTGCATTGGAAGAAAAGTCTCCAGTGACATGAATGTGGGCCTACCTTTCCGGGCAAAGAGCATCGCAAGCCCTCTAAGTGGGTGACCATGTGGGAGTGAAGGATTAAAACTATCCTGAATTCAACTCTACTTATTTATTTGTTTAAAATTTTTCTAGACCGTCCCTTATGGTGGTCCTGGGATAGTTTAACAATAAGACAATATAAAATAGAACACAGTGTCCTAAGAAAATTTCCAACCAGCAATAAAAACCCAATTAAAACAATCAAATCTTAAAACATTGGGAAAATAAAATGGTTTTAGCCTGGCACCGAACAGAATAAAGTAATGGGGAGGTAATTTCACAATCAGGGTGCCACCACAGAGAAGGCCCTTCTCCAGGTAGTCACCCTCCTAATCTCCTTCAGGGAAGGAGGGCTCCCAGAGAAGGGCCTCTCTCCCAGAACTTAAGGGTTAGGGTAACTCTATCCCAGACTCACTATTTGCTCTTTATAAAATAGAAAGATATAAATGATTGCTAAGTTAGTTTACAAGACCAATGAAATAACTGTATTAAACAAGTAAGAAAAGGCAACAACGCTTTTTCAGAGCCTCCAACTGAGCCTTCCCCAACCTGTGCGCAAGGCTAGTTCACTCTCTTTCTCCCCATTGTTCCAGAAAGGAGGAAATAAAACTTAGTATTTGCTTAAGGGCACTTGTTTTCAGCCTGACAGGATGACTAAACCTGCCTGGTATATGAGATCTTTCCTCCTTTACACTTTAATCAAAGAGTAAACATTCTACCAAGAGAGTTATTTGAAACGGCCTCTTGACAGATTTGACTTGGAAGTGCCTCTGAGAATTATCCTGATTAGCAGACAGATATTTCATGGAAGAAAAAAAATGTTAACAGCTCTTTCACTTGGAGTTTTCACCACCTGGTGCTTCTGTGGTTTGCTTTAATTAAACAGGGCCATTTTATAGAAATTGGAGGAGATTTTTTTTTTCTGAACTGGGATTAAATGAATGCTGCCTTCTTCACAGAAATACATCATAAATATTTATCCTGCTGCCTCTTTGGCACACAGAAGACTGCTCTTATTTAAAGTCTTCTTTTAAAATTCTTCTGATTACAAGAAAAGATAGAATGCAGCAACATGGAGAGGCTTCTGGCTCAAATGTCTGTGGAGCAGCTTTGGATTTTACTCTGAAATTGAAGGAGGAGGCAGGGGGGCTGTCTGTGGAATAATGCAGGTGCAGCTAGTGGGGGCATTTATGAACTACTCAAGAAAAGGAAAGGCATTGCTACAAAAGAAACAGCATAAAATCTGCATATTCCGCTGTATATGCATCAATGCACATCTGGAAACTATTCCATAGTGTGGAAGACTAGCCAGGCAACCTGGGAGTCCCTGTTTGTCCAGGTGCTAACTGCTGATTGGCAACAGTTTTTGTGGCCAGTGGTGTCGTGGAGACGGGGCTCGCAGGGATGCAACAGCAGCACTGTTGTTGTAAGGTATGCCAATTTTGTTTATCACCTGCCTGAGAGTAACCCATTCCCTCTGGCCTTAGCAGCAATTCACACAGTCGCAGCCATGGAGGGAGGGCAGATTTCCCCAGCAACAATACAAGGCGGCCAGCTGTCAATATAATGAGAAACACTTTGGGCAATTATTACTTTACAAAAGATCTGTTTCCCAGCAGATGAAAACTTCTAGATCTCAATTATTGATTTTAATTGACATAAATTTCATCAGAGACCTCAAAATTCAATCACTTAGACAGAAGGAAAGACATCACATGCTGATTCATAGAGGAATACTTTAAAGCTGGGGTGGTGAACCCTTTTCTTATGAAGGGCAGTTCATCCACAAATGGTGGATAACCTGATGTAATGGTGGATGAACATCAGAATTGGACCTTATGTTGAATGCGGGTTTCAGCATCACGGTTCTCTCTTGCTCTTTCTTTCTGGGCCACCCCTCACTCTATTTCTTCCCCATGATCATCTGTGTTTGGGTATATATACGTGTTCCCCATCTCTCTCCCTCTCTCTCCTCCCACCTCACCCCTGCCAATGTCTCCCTCAGTGACCTGGTTCACACAATCACCACAGTCCACCAAAACTTCATGAAGCCAGGATGAGCTACTGTTCCAAGTTGCCATTTGGCTGCAAATTGTCATACCATCTGGTGTGACTTGGAGGTGGGGGACAACCCTCCAATACCTCATGGCCAGTTGCAGGGTTCCTGGAGGGGTGTTTCCCCCTCCAACAAGCCATTCTGCACAGATTCAGACTATAAAGCAAACCATGGCACCTCTCCCCTGGGCGATGAATATTCTAAATCCATGTAATGAGCTGGAGCTGGGGATCAGACTAGATGGCCTGGGAGACCCCTTCTGACTTGCTCTGTTTCTATGTTTCTACTGCAAATGACCATGGCTTAAATAAGTGACATGAGCTTTGGTAATGCAAAGCGGCCCCAGCTTTCTATTTCAAGGGCAGCAGGTTCCTCACCCAGACTTTTTTTTTTAAAGTACATCAGGGATCATAGCATCTATTTCTCTTGTGGTCTAAATGGGACAGCTGTAACAACAATGTGTTACTTTAAAGCATTAGTAGCTTCCCAAACTTACTTTTAGGAAGTGGGTTTTAATTTTCCCGCAGTGTTTGCCTCTCTGCTTGCTCACAGGGGAATACAGCAAGTCTTTGGCTGGGATTCTTGCATATGCGACTCTTTTGTTGTTGCTCAGCATCCAGATGAAGACATCAGGCACAGTATGCTGAGGCTAAAAGAGAGAGAGATGTGCTTTGAGAACTGATGATGGCATGAGGCTCCTGAAACATTTCGCTCCCCAGGAAATCTGCATTCTTCCATTGCGTGTGTGCATGACACAAGGAGCAAGAATAGCATGCCTTGGCAGGGACTGTCAGGCTTTAATAAGGAAAATAAAATGCAGGCATAGTTTGAGAGTGACAGAAAATATTCAGTCCGCATGGAGGGCATTCCGTCATGCACTGAATTCAGGTGTGCAAACAGTATGTCAGAGGTAGCTTGTTTGGCATGTCTTCTTTATAAACAAGGGGGAGGAGGCATCCTTTGGCTATTGGGGCCGGTTTCACCAAACAGGACTCACCTCGTCTACCAAGAAGCGAATCTTCTCGATAAAGTTCTGCGTCTCACGCATCATTGCTTCAAGAGGAATCTTCTTCTTTTGCTGTTGGATGATCCCTTTGGCTTCTTTGGACATTGCATCCTACAAGAATGAGGAGGAAGTGTGTTACCAAAGCCCATTGCTCTTTCCATTCCGTATCACAGAATTCCACACAATGTTCTGGGACATACAAGGAACACTTGTATGGTACACTTTGCCGTACATGTAATGTACATGTAGTGGTGCACCTTGAAGTGCCATTGCTCATGTTCTCCTAACAGTTCATTTCGGTACGCACAGACTGGTATGCATTTGTGCATGTATATACACCAAAGACCATCTGCACATAGTATAACATCCAATTTATTAGGTTCAGTGATAGTCACAGAATAGTGAGTTGGCAAAGTAGAGAATAGCACTGAGCACGCTGGACTTGGACCACAGAGATCTGAAAAAGGGAAAGAAAGGGACTCAACGGGACCCAAAGGACCATCTACTCCCATATATACCCGCCCGCCCCTTAAGATCTGGGCAGGAGATCCTTCCAAAAGAGCCAGCCTTTAAAGGAGATAAAGGTTGCTTGCATCTAACAAGAAACAACATCACACCCCACTGCACACAAACCTTCACAAGTGGCCCTGAAGGGAAATTCACCCAGGATGACTTCTCAGGACATGTGAACCAGACCTTTATGCCAGTGCCAACAAAGAAGTTCTACCAGTTCTCATTCTCCCATCAGAAATAAATGTTTTGCAAAGCTAGTAGGTCTTAATTGCCCATTCAAGTCTCTCTCACAAAAAACCCTAATGTGCATCACAACAGGGATATGGCTGGATTTGGATGGCATAAACCACACTGTGGAGCCCTGGACATAGTGTGGCTTGTAAGCCACTCCACCAAATAGACTGGACACCAGGCGCTATGTGTAGGGCGCCCGCTCCCTCTGCATATCCCAGAGGACACGGTGGGAGCACTGCAGGTTCCACCCACTTCTCTGCCACCCATTCTGGGCTCTTTGAGTCTGCAGCTTTACTTTCATAGCTATTCTTTTCAAGCTTGTGAAAAAACAGCAGTTGTACCAGCTTTGGCAATGCCCATGGAGGCATCCAGGAGATTCTGGAGGGGATGCCCATGCTTGCCCTCCTTTAAAAGAAATGATATATAATGTGTACAATGAATTGCATTTTTAACATGTCCTGCTTTATTTGCACTCTTTCTTGCAGGAAGCTTTAGGGGAGGGGTTTCCTAGGATAGGGCAGGGGGGTGTCTGCTGGACTAACCCAGCAGCTGTTCATCCTGTACATTGCCTGCAAGTAAGTATTTGCAGGTAATTTCGGGCTGTAGGTAAGTATTTCCTCCCTTTGCAAGTCTCTGACAGGTTAGGTATAGCCTGAGCTGCCAGGAGCTTGCAAAGCACTGAGAGATGGAGATTTGTGGAAAGGGGCTCACTCCTTCCTTTTTGCAGGGAGATCCTTGGCTTTCTTTGTTGTGGATCAGGTATCCCTACTGACATCTAAAAAATGGTCTTAAAATAAAAGCTTTGGTTGACAGTCATGGCTGCCCTCTGGCTGCAGGGCAGGCTTGGAAAGCAGTTTCTGCCACTCTTGCTGAACAGTTCTCTTTTAGCGAGGCCTGATTAAGATCTTCCAGGGACTGGATGACACAATAACTCATTGTGGTTGAAACAACCCCAGTTACAAACCTTGGGTTTTCACGGAGGCATATAACCCTGAAATAAGTCACCTGGACAAGCCCGTCTCTGGTTCAGGTGATACAACAATCTACCCATACACAGTTGTGCTGTGCAAACCCAGTCACAATATTGTTGCTGGGAAAAGCCATTCTTTCCACTCCTAATTTTTTCCTTCGCAACTTTGAGAACTGCAGCTAATCTTGGAGAGACCAAGGAATTCGTGAGGAGGAGATGCCATCTTCCCTGTTACTCAAAAATTTTCAGTGCTTTGGACCTATGAGCCCTGCTTCTGCTACATCACTGCCATGGAGAGATGACCATTTCTTTTAATGCTTTTAGGCAACAACCTCACAGCGAGTAGCAGTTGGAGTGAAAAGTTCCCCTTGCCCCATAATCACAGTGGGACAGACGGAGGTCAGAAGATCTTATGTATATACATTTCTACCAGCATGTTTGTGCATCATGAAAAGTTGAATTATTCGGTGGGGGGGGGGTCCCTTCACTTACAAGAACCCCAAAACTGTCTTTTTAACATCAGCCTTTATTGCTCCCCGAGTTCTGTGTGAATTGAAGAACTGGGTCAATGTTTTATGGACTGAGATGTTTGTTAATGTACTTTATTGTTTATTAATATCCTGTGGTTTTATTTATTCCTGTTCTGTTGATATGCTGCGACCCACTTTGGAAACAGCATGCAATGGAGATAAATAAAAGGAGTGAGTCAATGAGTGAGTGAATCGCTGAGTGCCCAGTGATGTGCCTCTGAATGTATGAGCTGCCTCCAGTCAAAAATATCATATTTAAAAGGAGGTGAATTAGTGCAGCTCAAGGCTTTTAGTTTGCCATTCCAGGAAGGATGACTCTTGTTGATGTCATAAAGAATTCTGGATATATGCTTATTTCTCCTGGGAGCCAGCCATGCTGGAAGCATATCTAGAAGCAGATGTATTTGTTACTTTTGTCACAGCAGGCAACTTCTCAATATCACCCTAGGCAGCAACATCATCTGACGGAATGGGCTGCTTTCCATATGAAATGCCAGTGAATGGCTTTGATCTTTAGTAAATGCAGATTGCCATTCCACGTCTCCTCACAGTGAGGGATATGCAAATACTCACTTTGAAGGTCATTGGTGTGCAATGCCAAGGGTTCCCGCATGAACCTAGATAAACCTTGAGATCATCAGCTGAGGCCCTCCTCAAGGTGCCTCCCAGCAGGTGAGGTATGACAAGTAGCAACCACAGAAACCACCTTTTCAGGAGCAGGTCCCCAGCTGAAGAATATTCTCCTCCTCACTCTAATGCAGCCTCCCCCCTTCAAATAAATCCTCCAGGTGTTTCGGTCTACAACTACCAGCGTTACAAATCCTCAGCCGTGCTGGCTGGAGCTGATGGAAGATAAAGTCCAGAACATCTGACAAGTATCAGGTTGGGGAAGGCTAAGTCAGGCTCTCCCCCTTTTTGGACTCATGGGCCACTTGGGAAATGGCAATACGTGCCATCGCAATATGACACCCACAATGGATGTGGCTAGTTACATAACGGCTGCTGCGAGGAACTAGCTGATCAAAGTGAAATAAAGAGAAGGGACTGCAGGCAGGGAAATAGTGAGGTTGGAGGCTGGGAAGAAGGAAGTGTTCCTACTGCTGTATTGCATTTATAGCCCACTATTTTCCCTCTCTGAGGAACCCGAGGTGGAAGACGTGGTCTTCCACCACTCCATTGCATGCTCACAATAAGAATCCTGTGAGGTGGGTTGGTCTGAGATCACCCAGTTGGATCCATGGCCGAGTGGAGACTAGATCCTTGACCTCCCAGATCCCAACCCAACACTCTAACTAGCACATCACCCTGGGTCTCAAATAGCGAGGCAAAGAGAGAAAGTCAAGAAGAGCAAGCCTACTGCCACAACGGCAGAAGACAGTCTTAATGCTTCCAGGGTGTTTTCTTTTCCATTTTTGGAGACAGGCAGGGGGCAACTTTATAGGCACCATTAGAGGCCCCTGTGGGTGGCCAGAAACCCACAGAAGCCATGTTGGAGACTCTCGATACCGACAGTGTGAGAAAGCCTGATAGATCTGATGTGATTTTTTAACTAGATGTTTAAAAAATATGCCTTATATCTGAAATCTTGAAGAGCTAAGTGCATCTATCCCTGGTGACGAGAGTGGACAATGCCACATTAATCCTGTGGTCAGAGCTTCACACAACTTCTTCTCAAGTTGCATGGAATTCATCATGCCAAAGCTGGAAGGTCCATTTATGAGGATGCAAGCTCGGCCCATTCTGCTTAACTGTATTATGCTCCCCAAACAGCTTTCCTGTAATTCCCTGCATATTATAAAGTACCCATCGTTCTTGAGATAGGTATAATTTCAAAAAGGACATAGACACAATAATCTGCAGTGCCTTTCAAACATATTGCAGCAAGGATCCAAGAAATGTATTTCACATACCAATTCTTGCTTACACAGTGTCAGCCTCTTTTTGTCCAAACTGGTCCTATTCATCAATTTGGGCTTCTTTTCAGCATTTGCAACAAAAACCCTGGGAGAAAGACACAGAATTAATCTTTGGAGTCAATAAAAATGTTATCTTTATAATGATGGATAATAATATCCCTGTGATAAGTTCAGTTATACAGCAGAGTAGAAGAGCCAGAAGATTCAAAAAGCTTGGATTCATAATATTAAAATGGAGGGATCATTTATAGTCGTGTGGACAAGTAGAAATGCAATTTGTATGGTAATATTTCAGTACAAATTTAATTAGCTTGGGGATATGTTACTATTTTGCATCTTGTCTACTGCATACGACAGAGTTTTAAGCAAGCGAAGTCTTTCGTATGCATGTTGATCTTGTAGATGTATGCAGAATATATTAGCAAGGAATGTCAATGATTATTTCCAACGAATGTCTTCTCTTAGCTCCAAATGATGGGTTGACAATCTAGTAATGAATTGCTGGAAAATTAACACAAGAGACAGAACTGAAAATACGTCGAATAAAGTTGAAACACATGGGATCTTCTGAATTCACTACAGGATAAAAAATTAAGCAAGGAAGGAATCCTTGAGGATTTCAGTTGGTCCACAGTTTTAGGGTACACTAAACTCCTATGGCTTGCATCCTCTTTGTTTATAAGATCCCAGACTCTGAGACTTAAGAGCATCAAGCGGGGTAGAAAGAGCCAGATACAATGTTTGCTGCCCTGCCCTGACTTCCTGCAGTTTCATAAGCTGAGTTTCTTTGGCTGTCTAGCAAAAGTGTTTCAGAGGGAGAGAGAAGGAAGCTGGAGTGGCTCCAGAAAAGTTGTTGGCAACTCCAGTCTTATCCACTTCTGGCCCACCAAAATGCCCACTTTTATCCCATTCCAAGACCATGTTCCTGAGCTCAACAATGCGGCCAGCATGGTTCTTCCTAAGCTAGCTGTGAGGGCTGGGGATGACAAGAGCTTCAGCTCCCAGTTGGGAGTCTGCAGCACTGCGTCTGACTGTGGAACTGGAAGTTAAAAACCTTATGGCTCCTCAGATACTTCCTAGGGGCCATAGGATTGCTCCTTTGCTGAAGCAGCCTTATTCACCATCTTGGAATAATATAAGACTCAGGGTGCAATTATCTTTTGGTTTTTGCACATCTCTAGATTTTTGGATGCAGCTATTTGTCAGAAAAGGGTGTCAAAATGTGTACTTCATGTTCAAATAGATACAAAAGGCATATTGTAGGATAAAATGCCTACAGAAATGCTGGAAATGTGCATTTTGAGAGAACAAGGGAGATGTGTATTTTGAGAGAACAAGGGAGATGTGTATTTTGAGAGAACAATACATACTAAAAAGTATAAAAAATATAAACAAAATATACTGTAAAAATATGTAAGTGCAGATTCATGTGGAAACAGGACAGGAGAGCTTTATGAATGAACTTGTGCAAAACTGACATGGACCAGAAACAGATCCTGAGGTGTAGCTACTTTTGTACGTCTCATAGATTACTTACTCACCTTCTGGGACCCATTCCCCAGCTATAAAGTACACCGCAAGTTTCTCCCATACATGTTCTTACCTACTTTGGTTGATAAAATCAGTTAGAGTGGACTTCATTTTCTCCTCTGATGCAATCTCAGAAACTTTGATTAAATCTTTCACTTGTTCTAAACCTTCTTCCTAAAAAAGGAAGAAAAAGACCAGTTGCATAAAGAACATAAATGTCACTGGAAATAGCAAGTGGTGGTTTAATTTAATGAATCAATAGGAGGAAAGCGATCATGAGCTAATTAGCATGAGTGATCAGTGATAATTGGTGCCAATTAGCTGGTATACTAACACATTTTCAATTGAGAAATGAATGCATTTATTTGTCAGTTCACTGTAGACTCAAAACATTTAATTTTAATTAATGGAAAGGTCTCCAGCGAGACATTGTTCACTGCTAAGGTCCTATTGTAAAACAGCCTGGCAATGCAAGCTGGGAAAGAAGCTGTTCCTTTCGTAGCAGCGGTAGAGCTGCTGAGAAGGGGTTCATTCCCATCACTCCAAAATCCTCCTCCAGAAACTGCTTTCCCACCCATCAGGATGGAGCTAGAGATACAGGACATTTTAGCCCTGGTGGGCATGGAAATAGAGGACAAACCTGAATGCAAATGTTGCCACCCTAGGGAAAGGGTTATGACCGGCTGGGGCTGACTGGCCTGAAGCAAAGAACAAGACAGTATCTCTCCCATTCTATGTACAAGTGCTGACTGGACCAGCAAACACATCTGTCTTCAAGACTGATTACATTAGTTTTATTGTTGGGAGTGAGAGTGAGACGGCTGCTTTGGGCACTTGTTCTTGCGTAAGGACTGCTGGCTGGACTTCAGGAGAAGATGGAGGAGAGGAGCAGGAAGGGGTGGGAATATGGGCCTTGTGGAGACACTGAGAGGAAGGAAGCAGAGATGCTTCTATCAAGGCTGGGTTCCCAGGTGGGCAGGCAGCCTCTGGGAATAACCAAGATGCACAGGTGGCAGGAGGGAACACGGAGCAGGGGAGTCTCTCAGATTCAGGTGAGCTGAGCACGGCTCTTGCCCCCATGATGCATGGCCAGCAGAGGAGGGTGGCCCAGTGTATGGGTGGCCCAGATCAAGGAGGTGTACTCAGTTTCAGAAGGCCCCTCTGAAAAGCACGGAGCCCAGGCATGCTCGTGAGCCGAATACTGCACTGGGTTCAGCAAACTGCTTGCGTGCTGAGAGATTGCAAGGAGAAAGGACTGTGGCTTTTGAATGCATGAAGGAGGAACCCCCAACTCCTGACATTTACACGTATTTCTACACCACCCAATAGCTGAAGCTCTCTTCCTGGCTCTTGCCCCATGATGCCAGGGCAGGTAGTTTATGGGGTGCTGGGCAGGCAGCATGGCTCACAGGTATCTCTTCTCACACCTTGCTCCTGCATCCCTGAAGCTTTCACCTGGCTGCTTTGCTCTGCCTGCTTAATGCTTTGGATGAGGAGGTGCAGGGAATTCTTATCAAATTTGTGCAAGACACAGAATTGGGTGGGATGGCTAATACCCTGGAAGCCAGAAACAGAATGCAAAGTGCTCACAGTAGGTTGGAGGGCTGGGGTGAAATCAACAGAATGAAATGAGAATCACTCTTTGATACTCCAACAGACTTACCAGGAGATCTGCCATTTTCTCCAGGACATTGGAGAAATACAGCCTGAAGGTCTGGTCACCCCAATGGCTCTTTATGTAGACACAGGGTTTCTTCTCATTGTAGGGCAAATAATAATAGTTCCTAGTGAAAAAAATAAGGGTGCGCTTCTGAAATGACAGAATGGGATAGGTAGGGAAAGCCAAACACTCGGCCACAGGAAGATTGTCCAACTCTCCAATGCTAAGCTAGTTTTGATCCCCCACTTTCAACTTTGAAACGCTGAAGTCAGGGCTGGCTCCACACCGAGGAAGCCTTCCAGGAGTCCCCGTCAGTGACCCCACAAGGCTTACCTGGCTGTCTGAACAGTGCTGGGCAGCTGTGTCCAGCAACCCTTTCAACTGTCTGAACTGACATAGGTTTGGGGCACAGTGGAAAACTGAATGGGTGGTCAGTTCCAACTGCTTAGTGGTGCTTGGTGTGCAGTAAGCCAATATGAGAATATCATAAAAGGATATTTGTGGATATGATAGAAGGATACTATAAATGGATATTAATGGAAATCCTAAAGTGGCTTCCCAACCTGGTGTCCTCCATATATGCTGGGGTACAGCTTCCACTCTTACCCAGACAGAAGGACTGGCTGGGGGATGCCAAAGGTTGTAGTTGATTTATCAGTTTCTTTCTTTATTATATTTATATCCCACCTTTTTTTCTTTCCAAGGAACCCAAGGTGGCTTACATCATTCTCCCGCTGCTCTCAATCTTATCCTCACAACACAACCCTGTGAGATGGGTTCGGCTGAGAGTCTGGGACTTGCCCAAAGTTCCAGTGAGCTAGAACCCAGATCGCCTGAGTCCCCGTCCCACACTCTTAACCACTGCACCACGTTGGCTCTTCAGATAGTTCAACACATCTCCAAAGCACCAGTCTGGGGAAGGCTGTCTTAAGATGCAATTCTATGCATGTGAGGCAGAAAAACCTAAAATTTCCAGCATTCCCCATTTTTATGCTAGGCGTGTCCTGGTGGAGGTTGTAGGACCTTTTTCTGCCTAAACATGGATAGGACTGCACACTTAAAGAATCAAAGTCAATTTTTTTGTTCTTCTTTTAAACAATGGTTTAAAGCATGCATTCAGTGACTGGGGATCCTGATTTTTTCCTTTGTTTCTTTTGCATTTTTGAAAACATGGTTTACTGGCAAAATTAAGGACGGAGGAAACTGCTTAATACCAGATTGGGCCATTTTCTACCTAGCCTAGTTCAGTCAGCCACTGACTGCAAGTACTGTTCAGGGTCACAGGCAGAGGTGTTTAACTGGAAATGTTGGGGAATCTTCCGCCTGCACAGAATGTGTTCTACCACTGAGTGATGATCAGTGCAGAAAGAGTAAGGGATGGAGTTCGCGAACTGTGTGCACAGCCAGTTGCTTCCCATACAGTTAAATCATGGCCATCTTACTCTTGGACCAGGCGGTTTTCTCCAGACCACCTCAGAGAGATGCAAAGCCATAGAGCAAGGGAGAATTCAATAGCCTCTCTTTAAAAAAAAACAGAACAAAACAGGGGAAAGCTGAATTGCAGAGACAGATGACAGAACACCCCAGTTATTCTCCCTTTCCTGACAGTATTTTCTCCTGAATCAATTCAGAAATTCCTTGCTTTGCACTTTGTGCGTGTATGTGCAAAAATAGAAATCTCTGAAAAAGAGCATGAGCTGGGAAGGCCAGCTTGGCGGGAGGCACTCTGTGAAATGGGCCATCCGTCAGAACTGCAGCCTGATGTGTTTATTCCAAGCATTGTCATGTCAGCATGCTGTCCTCGAAGGCCATTTTTAAGGCAAATTTGTTTGCAGTCAGGATGTTCGCCGCCTGTTAAATTGCTTTCCTTTCAGACTTTCTCCTATAGAGACACACTTCCATGCCGTTGATCGTTACTCTTTCCTTTGTCTAATTAAAATGCATTGGGCACATCACTGTGCAGTTTTTAAGGAAGAAAGTCTACAGAATGGGGCCATGTGAGGAGGAGAAAACATCTCTGATGTCTGTTAGAAGAAAGATGAGTCTTGTTGCCGCATTTGAGGAAGATCTGGGGCTGGATGCTTTATATATATATATATATATATATATATATATATATATATATATAAAGATGGAAGTCACCTTGGATTCCTTGCAAGAGGATAGGAAGGTTTTTAATTTGTTTGGGTATTTATTTATATCATCTTGCACGGAACCAAGGGAAGCTTATATCATCCTTCCCTTTTTCCTTGTATCCTCCCAACTGCCCTGTGGGGAAGGCTGGGCTGTGAATGGGTGGTTGGCCCAAAGTTACCCAGTGAGTTTCACAGCTGAGCAAGAACTGGCCTCTGGATATCCCAAGACCCTGCCTCACACTAACCAGCAACACCTGCACTGGCTACATCTCTGACTTTATGGCAGTGTTGTACCGAAAGCCCAGCTTCTGGGCAGCTCTCCATCCAGGCAGAGATGGTGCTTAGCTGATTTGAGGCATGAGGGATGCTGATGCTTTGTGCATTCATGTCATCCTCCACAGGGTAACATCCACATCTGCGTCAAGCCATCAGTCTCTTTGGCTCAGTATTGTCTGGTCCAGGGATGGGCAGAAGGAAGAATTCCCAGAGACTGAAGTCCAAAACCATCTGGAGAGCTACCTTCTGCACAAGCCTGACCTAGAGATATTGTGAAGATGTGCGTCAGAATATGAACGTAGCACATTTTGCAAAGACCTGGGATAAGCTCATCCTCGCTGGCCTTCATTTACCTAGTGCTGGCTTGGACAACCGGAATGCCTTTTCCTTCTCTCCCCTGCTTGGACAGCTAGAAGGGAGAGGAAGAGAAAGGAAGGCAGGGAGGGATGAAGGAAGAGTCCTGGAGTAGCAGGCAGAAATGGGCTGTGCTGGGGGCTCATGGGAAGCTGGGGCAAGTGATTTGGACTATGTTGTACGCTTGATGGTATCATTAAGAGCATGACAAACTAGGCAAATTTCTGAGATCTGTGAGAGTAGCTCAGTTTGCTAAGCAAAATGCCAGGCTGGACTGCAAAATCAATTCCATTTCCAAAGATTAATCATTTCTGTAATGCGACTGCTGAATAATTTTCCAGGTTGGGTATACATTTTATCCATTACGTTTCCATACATTGAACAAGGGATATAAACCATGAATGGCCAATATCTATATTCTCAGGGGCATTCATTGCACAGCTGGGGGCCAGAAATGTATTTTACCTCACAAACTCCCCACGACCAGTAGTGGTAAGGCTCTGTAATAAAGTGGGTGCTATCCAGGAATAAGAGGACAGAAATATGTAACTAAGTGTAGAATCTCTGTCTTTTCCATCAATTTTGAAGGAAAAAATATAATGCACTCAAATTATATTGAACCAAATTATGGGCATTTTTAAAACCTTGATTAGAAGTTATTAATTGTCACCAAGGGCTGAATGCAGGCCATTGGCTGCCAGTTGGCTATCTCCAATAAAGCATGATTCTGTTATATTTCATGTCAGAAGCTCAGTTGGCTGCAAGCATTCCACGAGGAAGGGGAAATGCAAAGTCTATAATAATATTACATCTCCATCTGAGAGATATCAGTCTTTAATGAAAGAAAGTAATGGAACAAATATTGCAACCATCCATATAAAGCAACTGTAGATATGAAAAAAAGATTCTGCTTGTTTATATTGCAGCTCTTTAGATCTTAATTTCTATCTGGAGCCAACATAAAAACCCATCAGCTGGCTCTCCAAGATAATAGCTGACTGCCTACATTCTCTCTCACTATTACAAGGGAAAGCAACTATATTTTTGGCAGATTCTGCTTTTCATCGCTTAGAGCATTTCTCTTCCACCCTAATCTTGCTAAAAATGATTTCATTTGATTGTGTCCTTTACTTAAGAGAGAAACAGAAACAAACATTGCTATGTTTTCTCAAGTTGCAGGAGGTAGCATCAGGTCCCAACGTTCCCAAACGCATGGGGTGTCCAACATGGAGTCCATAGGGCTACAGACTTTTCTTCTGGCAGCAGGGTCCCTGTTCTTCCCACCATTTTATTTTATTCAAGATTTTTAAATTTAAAACTTTATTTAAATTGGAGGTTAGGATGCTGCAAAGTGAAGTGTTGCTCTCCTCCACCATCTTCCTTTGACTTCTAAGGAGTGGGGTGGGGATGGGGGTTAGCTTCAGAACTAAGCCCCACCTGAATGTCCATGATTGGCATGGCTATCATGGCAGTCATTTCATGAATGGATGGAGAATCATAGAATAATAGACTCATAGGATAGTAGAGTTCGAAGGGACCAAGAAGGTCATCAGGTTCAACCCCCTGTTAATGTAGGACTTCAAGTTAAACCATCCAAACCCCTGCATCATGCAATTTGAGAGCAAGTGTAGAGTAGCAACTAGCAACGCCAACTAAAGAAGGTTTATTTCCCTGCTCGGGGATCCTGGTTCTAGAGGTGCAGAGTTAGGCCAACAATATCAAACTTCAGGTCTCTACCTGTTTCCCTCAGTGATGAGCGGTTTCTCAGGGTGCGTGGTAGATATCAGTGGCACCGCAATATCATGCGAAGCATCTTCTGTCCCTTCATGCAGCAAGGGGGCACTTTCTTCATCTTCACCTTCATGGGTCTTCTTTTTGCCCCCAGCTCCTGGTGACACCCCATCGATGACATTGCCAAAATTCCCTGGAGATACAAAATTGGACTTGTATGTGGGAAAGGAAAGATTGAATTAGCCAGTTTTGAGAGGTAAAGTCATTAATATGATTATAGCCTTATCCTTTCCTGTTCCTTAAAAAAAGTATTATTGTTACCATTACCGTTACCATTACCATTTAGTTCTATGCAGCCCAGTAGCTGAAGCTCTCTAGGCAGTTTACAATCTCACACAAAATTAATAAAATGCAATATAAAATACGGACAACAGTATAAAATCATAAAATTGAAATTTAAAAGCCAATTTGAAAAGCGAGATCTAAGAGCAATTAAATCAGTAAAGCAGGTAATGTAATGCTCCAATATAATGCTACAGATAATTAAATGCCCTATCATAGAGGACAGCCTGAAACTGGCACCAAAAAGATAGTAGAACAAGTGCCAGGTGAACTTCAGTGGGGAGCTTGTTCCATAACAGGGGGCCACCACTGGGAAGACTCTCCTCTTTGTTGACACCAATTGAGCCTTTCTTGGAGGTGGCAGTTGGAGGCCCCAGATCTTGATCATAGTGTCTGCATAGATTGTGCTTGGGAGAAGTAGTCTCTCAAGTGCTGTGGTCCCAAATTGTGTAGGGTTTTATAGGTCAGAACCAGCACCATGAATTGGGCTTGAAAGCATACAGGCAGCCAAAGCAAGTGGGCCAGAATTGGTGTTATATGTTCAGACCTTTTGCTCTCAGCTGCCTGCTGCATTTTGCACAAGCTGCAGCTTCTGAATAGGACAGTCCCACTTCAAATGCATTGCAGTTTAGAGATTACTGGAGCATAGGCCACTGAATCCAGGTTATCCCCGTCTAGGCAGTGGGACAGCCAGGCCAGCAGCTGAAGCTGGTAGAAGGTACTCTGTGCCACTGAGGCCAACTGGGTCATGGGTGATAGAAGAACACCTTCAAGCTATGAACCTGCTTCATCCAGAATAGGTTGACCACTATCCATCCCATCAAAGAACCACCCACTAGCAACATCTCCAAGCTGAGCTTCAGCTTGTTGGCCTCATCCAGTCTATTGTCACCACCAGGCAACAATGGAATAGATGAGAATATTTTGAATTAAGCATTTTTAAGCAATTATCCTGTGGCCCTTATTTCCAAAGACTTATCCTGTTTAATTTCAAGGATCAATGCAAATATGTGAATGGTACATTTGGTTGCTCGGCTTTAGCATCAACATTAAAATACACTCACTCCTGTAGCCTGAGCCTTTTTATATTTTGTTGTTGTGGCAGCCATTCCCCCACATCGCCCCCCAGGAAGCCACAACAATGCTATATGCAAGGCATTTTGGGAGAAAGCATATCAGCCTCCATCTGCTGGCTGCTGGGGGTTTGTTTTTGTTTATTTACATTAAAGTTTATTTAACTTTTGTGCCACAACAAAAAAATACTTTGTGTGTTCACAGTGTTGAGTACCTTATATTCACTGAGTGGTGACAAAGCCAATTAAATCCATCTCAGTTCCAGATTGCAACAAAACAAAATGTGGAAAAATCAAAGGGAAGTAAAAACTTCTGCAAAGCACTGATAAAGGATTAAGGGTCATATAGAAAAGCTCAAAGTAGGACTAATACTAGACATAACCAATGTAGCTCAACCGAAGACCAAAAACCCTCATCCAGTGCCCAAGCCTCAACCCTTAGCACAAAGCTAACAGGCGTTTAAAGGTCCCATTTTTAAGGTACATACTCTGGAGTTTCCCAAAGCAGATCTGACATTTCTGGTCTTTGAACCTCGATGCAATGATGCCACTCCTGACCTTGGCTCCTTGCAAGGGTCTGACAACATGGCCTTAGAGGCAGAGGCAGGCATCCAATCCTCTTCCCCAGAGTGGCCCAGAGTGTGTTTTCCCTCCTTGGGACAGATTCCATGAGAGCCACATTGGTAGAGGATTTTTTTCTCTCTCCCCAAAATCATTGAAGAGGCAGGAAACCTGTGGCCATCCAGTTGGATTATAGATCCTATTATCTGCGGCCATTGCTCAGCCCATCTGGAGTTGATGGGAGCTGAAGTCCAACAACATTTCAATTCTTTCACCAAATATATTAGCTAAGATGTTTCCAAATATGTCAAATGGATGTTGGAAATGTAAACATAAATTGGGTACCTTCTATCATATGTGGTGGACTTGCAATAATGTGAAAAAGTATTGGATTAAAATACATAAATGGCTTGAGGAAATGTTACAAAAATCCTTAGCTTTTAAACCTGAAGTCTTCTTATTAGGCATTATATCTGTTGATATTAGTAAACAAGAAATGTACTTGAGTTTACATGTAAATACTGCAGCAAGAATTGCATTTGCTCAACACTGGAAAAGTGAAGAACCACCCACTGGCAAACTGATCCTAAAAAAGATCTCGGACTGTGCAGAAATGGATAGATTGACTTTGTCATTGAAGGAGAAAGAAGATACTGATTTCTATCAAACTTGGGACTCTTTTTATTATTGGCTAGAGAAATGGGACTTCGTATAGATATAAATCTGTTTCTAAGTTATCATAAATGGAAAAAAATGTGGGGGCTGACCCAGCAGGTCTGACGTTTCTGATGATTGATGTTGTTTTTAGTTTTTCTTTGTTTTAGGGTTATAATTTTGAATAAAACTTATTATAAAAAAACTTTTCAATTCTTGCTAGCTTTCTGATAAGGCACTGTTGAGGCAAAGGTCTGGCTTGCCTGGTAGCCCTCATTGGGAGTTCTCCCAGGTCCTGGAAGATGTGAACTCTTTCTCAGGCTTGCTGATCAGTGTCAGACACCAGGAGCACCCCAGGTTGCCAGCCCCTGGTCCAGGCTATCCAGGGAACAGAATACTACAAATCTGTTCCTTGGCCCTTCTTCAGAAGAAAGAATCTGGTACAAACCAGGACCCAGGACATGACTTCAATCAGGAACAAGATCTAGCTCTTTATACTGCAAGTACAAACAAATGAGGTTCAGCCTTTTCTAAGTCCCACCACATTTAAGTAAATATTAGACATTGCCTTGTTTGCCTACAAGGGCTTTCCCTGCACGCCCAGTTCCTCGCAAGAAACACAAAAGTGCACCATCACGCATGCTGATAATGCAGGTCTGTTGTTTTGCATATAAACAGGGTGGGACATTCTTTGCAGGACAATACAAACAATTGTCATTTGGGAGAAAAGAGAAGCTGCAGAGGAATAATCTGTTGGCTTTTTCTTGCTGCCTACTTTCTGGTCCAAAATAGTAGGTAGGGTGTTAATCTAAGATACCAGAAGCCAACTGGATGCTGGCATAACATGGTTCATGAAATTGTGCTAACATATCAAATCGGCAAAGAGCATTGCTGCCCTGGGTGTCTCTGGGCCTGTCCCTGACATTTAGCCTAACCTACCTCACAGGGCTGTTGTGAAACTACAATAGGGAGGAGGAGGATTGTTTAAGCTGCCTTGGGCTTCTTGGAAAAGGGCAAAGGTGCTGCACACATACAATAATGAATATACAAATTTAAACCAGGGAAAGCACAACAGAAGCCGAGCACACTTGGTGCTGTTGCACTCCAGAGAAAGAGCCTATATTCTTGACAGATTTAGAACTGATCCTCACTATGAACTGATTCTCTCTGGAGTGAGAGACTTTTCCATGCCTGGTGCAATTCCTCAGATCAGATCCTACATTTAAAAATTGTGCCAAGGAGAATCGTTCCTTGAGGGATGTCAAAATTCTTTTAGGCTTCCTCAGACTCCATGCAGATGCCTGCTGGAGAAAAACCTCATAGATGCCCCGTTTCCACACTGCTAATGGCAACTTGGAAGCAATGCTACCGGTCAGGGCATGGGGCTGGGTTGGGGGAAGGAGGCCAGACATAGTGTGTGGGGAATGAAAGAGAGGAATGGGGCAGGCGGTGGGGATGACAGCAGAAGACAAATAGGTGGCACTTACTCCCGAGGAAACATGCTAAACGCTCTTTCCTAAATGCAGCACTGGAAGGCTCCCTGCCTCCACCCTCCAGTATCATCCAGAAGAAGACTGGATAAAATCACTCCTCTATTCATATTTTTAATGCATGTTTGACTGCACCCAATTCAAATTAGGACAGTTTTCTAGTAATCATCAACCCATTTTGGCTAGTGTACACAGAATTACTTAGGCAAAGATGCTGAGCCCATAATTCTCTGCACTCAGCATGCCAAGCCAATATTGGAAAGCATCTGCATTTGTTCTGTGTCCAAGCCAAGATCCTTTCGAGGTTTATCTATCCATAAAAGGGAACTTGCTTCTTGGAAGACTTCCATGCTGGTACACTGCTGGATGTATATGTCTCACCAATGCACCATAGGCCCAAATACTATGGATGCACCATAGGCCCAAATACTATGGATGTATATGTCTCACCAATGCACCATAGGCCCAAATACTATGGATGCACCATAGGCCCAAATGCTATGGATGTATATGTCTCACCAATGCACCATAGGCCCAGCATGTTTCTCTCTGCACCCATGACAATATTTACCATGATTCATGGAATTGAAGGAGAATGAAAAGAAAGAAGCAGGTTTACCTCCAGACATTTCATTTCATTGCAAAGAGCAGCCAGAAGAATCAACCTGACAGCAATGTAAGGTTGAAGAAGAATTTAGAACTTACCAACAGATACCTCAAAACTTATTGGTTTATCTCCAACCTTTCTATCAATCATTGTAGCTTCAAAAAATGCCCCAAAGAGAAGAAATTCCTCAAATTGTTCTTCGTGAATCTAGTAAAAGGTTACAAGAAGAAATCTAATTTATTACATACTCATTGGGAGCAGGTATTTACTCATATTATCTTATGAAGAGGAAATTAAGAGAATTGCATTAAATTTAACCTTGTGTTCTTGAGCTATCTCAAATTTCTGACCAGAATTGATCTGTCATTTTCTTGGGCTGAAAGTCAAGATTAGTAATAATGATGAATGGGAGGATGGCATACCACAAAGAATTGTCTTCCAACCCCATTTTTATTTGGTTTTAAAAGAGTAATTTCATGTTCTGGAGCTCTGACTTCACCACTATCTCAGTTTTAGGGACAGGGGCTTTTTTTCTGAAAAGGTATAGGTTTGCAGCTATATTCTCACCAGTTCTCATCTAGAAAAATAATGTTTTGTGACCAGCCTTGCCCACCATTTTATGAACAGTAACACTCCCTCATGGCAGCCATTTTGTGAAACTACTCACAAGACTCGCAAAGCTGCAGATGTGTCCACTGACCTCAAAAATTTGAGGATCGCTGAGCTATGACATCCATGCCAGGTGTTCTTCTAAGCCTAGAAGTTTACTTGTGAAATAGATCCACATTATAACATTTTACCTCAGGTGGCACATCAAAAGGCTCCACTTCCACATCTGTTGAGTTTGTTTTATCTGAAGGTGGAGCAGACTTCCCATCTTCTGCTTCTTTCTCTTTCCCTTTGTCTTTTGAGCTTTTGGAGTCTTTGTCCTTCGAAGGTAGCTTTATGTCCTTGATGATCTTTGTAAACTTGGACTCATGGGCTCCTCCAGAGAGGATCTCCACAGCAAGTTCAATCAGGAGGCGTCCCCTGAAGGAGACACCTTCCCCATAACCTTCATTGAGCTCCTGGTGGTCATCCATCAAAGTGTGATTCCTGGGTGAACCATAAAGGTTGATCCAGGCAGGCCCAAAAGTGGGCAAGAAGCCTGAAGAAGACACATATTCAATAAACAGTAAGAGGAAAGAGACAAACACACAAGCACACACAATTTCAAGCAGGCATGCCTACTTGCATACTTGTTTACTTGTGGGCACACAGAACAGTTTGCTATTGAAGAGAAAGGTTAGCACAGTCTCCTCGCTAGCAAGTTTACACAACTCTTCAAGTTTAAAGGGCGACATTTCTCACTGCACAGGCCACTGGGAAACTTAATCCTTAATGACATGTCAACTTTTCACTGCTTTCACTCGGAGCACTCCTGTTGTGGGCAGACCAAGTGCTTCCTTCCTACTTACATGCCTTGTGGCCCAAGTTAAGATTTCTATAAGGAGTTTCAGCAGGGCTGGAGCATCCCAGGAATACAATTTCCTTCCCAAGAATGCACACACTCCCAGCAGTCCTTGCTTGAAAAGACCCCCCTGCTGCTTGCTCACCTCCACATATACACACTTTTATTTTTGGCTGTCGCTATTTCTGTGGTGTGAAATTTCAACAGCAAAATTGTTGGTGCAGCCATGTCAATTTTGCTAGCAGCAGAAAGGGAGGCAACCCTGTTGGACTCTGGGGGCAGTAGGTGGGGGGAGAAATTGGTCCCTAGATCTAACCTCCAAAAACAAGCACAGATGTAAACATTTAACTATGCGTCGAAAGAGTTTCAATCTTGAATTCTGCAGGTCTAACAAGTGTAGAGAGTTCTGTAAGCCCTAGAATGGTAGAGTTGGAAGAGGCCAAGAAGGCCACTGGGTCCAACCCCCTGCTGTGGGAGGACACCAGCTTACACCATCCCTCTCAGATGACTGCCCATGTACTACCCTTTACCTTTATCACCGTCCTGTTCATTTGAGATCTTCTTCAAGTCTACGAAGTGAGTTGCTAAGGCCACATCGTTCATGCTACCTTCATCCCACACCTGGATTCTGACTCTTCGACACAGGGGAGGGAACATTTCCTTAAAGACAACCTGTTCGTGCCACACAGGGTCAGCACAGTTCTTCCTCACTGTGGTCCGTCCCTAGAAAGAAGGACCAGAGGCAGTTTTGGGAAACTGATCCTAAATCAGTGAGTCCGCCTCTTGGTTAGTAAAGATGCTTTGTACACAGAACCACTTTGCGCTGCTTGTAACTCCCTACTAGATTCTCCAGTGTGTGGAAAACAAGAGCAATCCAGTTCTCTGCCATCTGTTTATAGAAATCTACCCAAGAGCCTACAATGAGTGCCAATCAGTTAAAAAGGATATAAGGATGGAGATGAATATAGCATTTATAGGGTAGTGAAACCATTTTGGTAGCATTTCCAGTACAAATGTCCTCTTTCCCTCTGCAGAGCTGAGTGCTAGAGAAAACAGCTTGCTAACACACAATGAAAGGGGCTGATTGAACATTTGACTTGATAGCACACGTGTCTATCTGAGCTGCATCATCTCTTTAAATATTGCATCTGTTGATTCGGAACCACTGAGCAAACATGAGGTGGTTGGAGGCTTTACGTATTCTGAAAGGAGGCAGAAAGTGTGCAGTCCCTCACCTGGACAAACTACATTGTCTAGAACTCGCGCAGAACAAGCTGTTGTCTCGCAACATGCAAAACCCTCCTGAAGGCTGGCCGGTTTTAACTTGCTCTCAACCCCTTCCCCCTCCGAGGAGCTGTCTACTTCTGAAAAGGCCATTGTCCAGTTCCACACAGTTCACTTCTCTGCCCTATGGGTGGTAAGGGTGCCCTGAAACCAGTGATCCAAGTAAAGCATCCTGCGTTGAACACGTTGCCCTTCCAGGAGGCTGGAGTGTGCTGGAGTTAGAAGACTGATTGCTTGATGGCATCTCTTCCCCTTCTGAATTCTCCTCTGAACCAGAGCAGCTATTGAAGAATACGACCCTCTATGAAGAGGGCCTTGACCATCTTCAGGGGTCCCTCAACTGCCTGCTACACTGGCCTGCTCCCGTGCAGTGAGTTTGTCCTCCACAGGTGAGCATATCAGCAATAGAGCAACTCAGCAGCATGAGCACAGCTGGGAGGGTGGGTCTGCTCACAGAATTTGAGGAGGGGTTGCTAACACACTGCGAGCACCTCCGCATGCTCAGTGCCAAACATTACTAACGCTGTGCAGTAATTCTGGATCAAGTCCACTGACAAGACGACGCCACCGATGGATTGCTTTGTCTTGTCTTTCAGCACATTCCGTATAGCAAGCAGGCCTCACAAATAAAAGCCTCTTCGATAACATCATTATCTAACTGGCAATGCTTCAAAATGTCTGTCCTTGTTTTACGAGTCAGTGTTGCAAAGAGCAAAACTGCATCATTAAAATTAAAACTGTGCCTGATTTTTCAGCTCTGTGGCTGCTATTTACTCTAGCTATTTGTCTGAAAGATAGGAAATGGAAGCTCCCATGCATATCTTTTCAGCAAAGTATTGCCTCTTTAAAAACATAGCAACAAATACAATGAAGAATCAAGGTTGTTTCCCTTTTTTTAAAGGATGGAGAATCAGAAGTACAGAGAAACAGGGAATGTTGAATGTGGGGAATAATGACAGCTGAAAGAGCAATGAAGTCCTGTCCTCAAGAAGGGTTGAGGATAGTGATAAGAGAAACCAAGAAAGAAATGCTACAGTAGTAAAGGCTGGAACAGAGACACCTGAATTCAAAACCCTGTGCCACTATAAAGATCAACAAGTACTCTTGGGTCTCTCTCTCTATCTCTCCTGACCTGACCTCACAGAGTTGGTTAGGATAAAGTGAGACAGAGCTACTAGTCTGAGAGTTTTGGAGGAATGATGGAATAAAATTAAGGTCTACTCATTTAAATGTTTCTTCCACATCACTGTATTTGGGATTGCAATTTAGGTTGCATCCAGTTGACAGGCTGAAACCCAGCACAGCGACCCTATGCCTCATATGTCCTATTGAAATGTGTGCAGGAGGAGCCCTGAGTGGCCATGAGTCCCCCCATCTAATGTGCACTGACCAGCTCTGCCTCTCAGCGTCCATGCGTCTACCACAAGCATAGCTTCTGTGTAGCCTGAAGTGCCTGATTCTGCCTAATTTTGGAAGCTAAGCAGGGTTGGTCTGGGTTGAGATCTGGATGGGAGACTTGAGTCCTGCACTGAGCAGGCAGTTGGACCTGATGGCCTGGTAGGGCCCTTCCAACTGTATGATTCTGTGCTTCTATGATCTGCAGGAGAGAGGCTTTGCACATACAGCTGCGATCCGAAACCCCAGTCCTAAGGCAGCCCTGCTCCCCTTTCATGAACTGACAGGACATGTGAGGACTCTTATCTTCTGAATAGAACTCAAGTGTACAGAGCACTTTGTACCAAGTCCCCACCATTTACTTTTCCATGTCCATTTGCTTATGTAGTTGAGTGTCTTCTGAGTTTTCTGATGCTTTTTTCTGTCTACTATTGGAAATAGGGAGGAATGGATCCTTGATCGGATCCAGCAGGGTACTCATATTCTTTGCAAATAGTAATACATCATGATCTCAAACTGGGTCATGATCACAGAAATGACAAGAGATACACACACACACACACTTCCTGGAAAATATCTCAGACAGCCTCTCAATCTCTTGCCATATTTGTTCAGACTGAATGTACTTCAAGAAGAGTTCGGGGACAGTATGCCTACACTGTTGCTTTTCTTTGCGGAGACCTCTAGAAGAAGTTCCAAACAAGAATTATTGGTACCTCACCAAACTAAAGTTCTCAGGATTCTTTATGGGGAGTGGGACAGGTTCTATGATGATTAAAGGGTTAGGGTTAGGGTTAGGGGTTAATACGGGCTTGTAACACAGTGAGAGCCAAAACATAACTAAGAAGTTAAAATTCACATTGTGATTCCTTTCAATATATAATCTTTCCATGGTTATTGTGTTTGGGTGGGAGATGGCCTTACAGCACTGAAATCAATCTGCTCCAAAGTCTACCATTCACTCAAAATGCACAACAGCAATGTAAAGGCTTCAAGGATTTCTTCTTGACAGCAATAACATGAGGAAGATGAAAATTACAGGCTGTCAAGTTACAGGAAAATGCAACATTTGGTCAGAACTGTGGTTCCTCTTTACCATTTGACCCGCAAAGGTGACCACCACATACGGGTCTACGAGGTCTTTGCTGTCACCCATGAATGCCTTTGTGACGTTGGCCATGATGCTAGAATTCATTTTGGGCAGCCCTTCTGCTTTGTAGATTCTCACATAAAATCTGGCCCAAGGCCTTTCTGAAGGAAATCCTTTGGGTATCAAGAGGTTCCTAGAAAAAGAAAGCAAGGACAAAAGAAAACAATAAGCAATTGTAAGAATGGCTTCAGAAAGTAACTGCTGGTCATTAAGGGAAGGCAATCCAAATGGGGACCACGGCAGTTAAAGGGGCCTTTAACCTACGACCACCCTTCAGCCCCAGGTCTGGTATTTAATTTTTAAAACCATTCATTCAGTTGCTCGCTTCTCTGGATCTACATGTTATTCAGTGGGGAATATGAAATAAGAAGAGAACAAAAGTACCATTTATTCACATAACTATGCATGTGTTGCTTGTATATAGCGAACTGCATGTTTAGAATTGCCACAATTTAAGGAGAAATATCATACATCTAGGCATAATAAGGAAGACTGCAACCAGATGACCCATCTGCCTTGCTCAGCCTCCTGCCCAGGCGCTGTTGATGGGCAGCTTCAAGGCCCAACTCTTCCTTCAGATGCCTTTAGCTTTAAACCAGACTTGGATGGATAGCCCTTGAAACAAAGGATGTCTTTCAAATGAGGACTGCCTTCTGATTCCCCTTCAAACAGAGGACCATCCGTGGTAAAGCAGGACACAAGGCCACCCTAGCTGGTTTGCTGTTCTTCTGCCTTTTCTCTATGCACACAGACATTCAAATGATTCTGGATATGAGAACCATAAAAGGAAGCCACACAAATACTTGTGTGTACTGCCCTAATGGATGCAATGGCCTAAGCTGATGATTCATTTCCAGAAGGGAGGCTGCAGTTCTCCTGCATTCATTTTCATGAGGGGAGCTGAGATGTGCACACATCCATTTCTTGGACAAACTGACAGGTTCCTCTTGTACTAATTGGAGCTAATAGTTCAATGGACACAAATAGGCAACCACAATCGCCTGATGCAAGATGTGGACACATGAGCCTGATGGCAACACAAAATTAGCCCCTGGGGACCAGCCCAAGACATGCTGCTGTGAGAGTTGAAGGATAAGGTGGAGCCCTTTGCAAGTTATATACAGAAGCTCGCTGGATTGCCAGATGAATCTCCTTCAGCACTGACAGCAAGGCTGTCACCTGGCCAGCACCTGAAGGCCAGTTTAGCAGGGTACACCTGCACGCTGACTACCCTGACTGCCCTTTAGAAGGTCAGGTACTGAAGATGAAGCTCAAATACTCTGGCCACCTAATGAGAAGGAAGGACTCCCTGGAGAAGAGCCTAATGCTGGGAGCAATAGATGGCAAAAGAAGGAGGGGACGGCAGAGGATGAGGTGGCTGGATGGAGTCACTGGGGCAGTCGGCGTGAGCTTGAGTGGACTCTGGGGGGATGGTGGAGGATAGGAAGGCCTGCAGGAATGTTGTCCATGGGGTCATGAAGAGTTAGGCAAGATTTTGCAATTGACAACAACAACAACAACAACAACAGATAGAGAAGGGTGAGGAATCTAATACGAGGCTGAGAATCCACTGGATTTTCTCAGCCTGGCTCCCCAAACTCTGGCCCACTCTCTTTCACTCTTGCACTGAGAATTCACATGGGAATCTGGCTGGAAGGGAGTTCAAGAGGGGTTCTGCTTCCACACACATGACTTGCAGGCTTTGTGTACTTTGTGCAAACAATTATGTACTTTGCAGCGTTTGCACAAAGAAGCTGCTAGCATTCCCAAGCATTTGGGGACTTTCATCTCAACTTAGCTTGCTCCTTGGCTAAGGAAGAAGTCCTCAAGTGCAAAGAGCCTTATCCTAGCCTGAACAGAGAGGGGAGGCAGTAAAGTTCACATTACAATCTGAACTTAGCTCATTACAAATTTTTCAACTACACTATGAATGAAAGCACTATCGTCCTTCAAACTTTACCCTTCTCCGCATTTCACTGTGGAATTTGCCAATTTAACATGTGTAGAAAAGTTATACTGTATTCAGAAAATTGCTTGTAAATATATATATATATACACACACACACACACACACACACACACACACACACACACACACATGTGTGCATTAAGAGAAATGTCCACAGATTTCTTATGAATTTCATCCAACTTTTCAAAAAGTTCTCCACATTTGGGAGCAACTAAACTTCCGGTTGGATAAGTGATGAAAATTCAAGATAAATTAAACTTTAGATAGAAAAAAGAGAGACTGGGAGAAATGAAAACAGCCAGGTGTGCCAGTCTCTCTTTGATTCTCAGCTCATGGTCTGACTGCCTCTCTGCCTCCTCACATGGCCAAGAGAAGCTGCACGGGGCAGACCTGGCTCTGGGTCTCTGTACCCTGCCATAGAGCTGGGCCATTGTAGCAGATGGATGTGCTCCCTTGATTAAGAGTTCTGGCTACATCAGTGGAAGCCACTCGGCAGTATATCCATGGCAATAGACCTCTATATCTGGAATGAGCATGCCTGCCAGAGAGAAAGTAATTAAGCCATGACAGTACTTTTCTATCTGTTCTTCTGCATCACTCGCTTTCTGAAGGGCTTGTATTGTGTCTCCTTTTCCTGCGACGCTGATATCACACTTCAGGTATCCCTTGGTTCCTGTCCTAATGTCAGCAGGGTCTGTGAGAAGGGCCCACTTGTCACAAAACTGATGACCTGGAAAAACATACAAGCAAGAATGGCATACAAGAGAGTGGTTTTGAAATCCCTGCCTTTCTGCAGGTGTGCACCCTGGCAGTCGCAAGTTACGGGCAACAACTATTTTATCTGCCACACACATAAACACGGAGATGCTCTGGAAAGTAAATAATGAAAGCATCCTCTCCTCTGAAGAGTTCTCAGGTACTGGTAGAGCAGATTACATTCAGCTTTAAATGCCACCATTTCTTTTGGAAAATTATCTTCATCCTGGGCTGGTCCTTTATCCTATCCATGCAGCTGTTGTTTTAGAGGCAGCTCTTTCACCTTTATATGTGTCTCCTTCCCCATTAATCTCTGTAACATCTAACATGCAGTAATTTATGCTTAGCGCAACATCATGATGTGGCACATTTAATGGGCTATACAAGGGACTCTCTTTGAAAACAGCCCGGAGACTCTTGCAGCAAGACTGTGAACAAGGACCGAACAGCTGGCTCAGGCAGGCACTGGAAGTGTAGCGCTGGAAAAAGGACCTTACCTGGCTCGTTATAAACTGTCGCCAAATCAACTTTGAAGGAGCCAATCAATACACTTCCTATCAGCTTGTTATGCATAACCTGTTAGGGAAAGATGCATCAGATGTTACGCTTTTGCTAAGTAAGGCATTTTTCCAACAGAAATCCAGCATTATTCCCACGATGAAAGGAGCTGGGCGTTTTTGGTATTAGACTGTGAAAATCATACGTATTAAAACCAGTGAATGGTTCTGCCTTTTTGTTGTCATGTAATATAGTAAGCCCAGAAACAGAACCCAGCATGCACCTTGGATACTGGGAAAATGTGCTAAGTCCATAATAATAGTGGATCCCCCCCAAAAAATATATATAGATGCCCTGCTTTAGGCACCACTCAAAGAGACATTGCTTTAACATGGTCTTCCCAGAATGCATGTGTTGCTCCAATTTCTTGTTTGTAGTTATACTATTTTGTTTTACTTATTTATTTAGAAAATTTGTAGGCCGTCCATCACTGTCATCACTGTAGCTATTGTACTGGCTTTAATGTTTTTATTCTTTAAAAGAATGGGTAGCTTCAGTGGGGTGCTCTGAGTGTTTAAGTCCAAGCTGTGAGGTCGGAGCTTGATCTCTGACTAAACAGATGGTCTTTGAGGCTCTGCCCAGGGGTCATAGGACTGCTCCTGAAGTAACCAAGAAAACTGCTATTTTGAGCGAAAACAGAGTCAGCCCTCTGTATTATCAGCTAGGTGTATCTATGCATTGTTTGCACATAAAGAAAAATGGAATGTCAGAAAAGCCCTTAGTAGAAGAATATGGTGCACAGAAAAGATAATCCACAAGACCATGTTTTGAGTCTCTCTTGCTCTATTGCTTCTGCCATGTGCGAAAGAGACCAGTGCAAAGTGCAGTGCTGAGGTGATACCAGATGTAATTCTTGGCTAATTTAAGGACAAGCCTTGGATCAGATGTTCAGGGCTGGCCTAAGAGGTTGGCATAATCAGCCATTTCTCTGGGGAGCACTTGTCAAGAGCGTGTGCTGCAAAGCCTGGAGTCTTTGGGCCCGGCAGCTGCTTCTTGCTGTCCCTGCCTGTTCACTTGCTTTCTCAGACTCGGCAAGCTGGAGGAGCAAGGCTAACAAGCCAAAGCTTCTGCTTTCCTCTCCTTCCAGGTGGTCATAAAGATTGGACACATCAGGAAAGGGCAAGTGTGCCGGGAATGTGTGACATTAGTAAGGAGAACTTGGGCCTACTCAGGGAGGGGACCTCACCAGTGACGGCCACCAAGAACAGAAACAGAGTGAGTCAGAAGAGGTCTCCTGGAGTCTGACCCCCAGCTCCAGCCAACTCTGCTCATGACATGCCTACCATGTGCATGCCCAGCTTTGAAAAGGCACAGGACAAATCCATGCATATGGACAGCTTTGAAAGGGCATTGAACAAATTCATGGAGGATACAAGGCTACCCATGAGAGCTTCATGCCACCTCCAGTAACAGAGGGAATGTGCCTGTGTACACCTGATGCTAGGGAACGTGGATGCCCTGCTTGCAGGTGTCTCAGGGGTACCTGGTTGGCCAAGGTGTGAACAGAATGTCGATCTAGTTTGATCCAGCAAGACTCTTCTTATGTCCACTAGGAGCATATTCCCAAACTCTGGATCTGCACTGCAGGCGTTCACACACTCATGTCAGCTGTCATGTGGCAAGGGAGTTTGCAAGCAGAACACAGGAAACTACCTTAGAATGCATCACAACCTTGATCCATCCAAGCCAATATTGTTTGCACTGACTGGCAGCAGCTCTCCAGGATTTCAGGCAGGTATTTTCCCAGCCCTAACTAGAGGTGGCAGGGACTGATCTGGGGACCTTCTGCATGCAAAGCAGGTTCTCTATGCCCCCTCTCATAGCCAGCCTCTCCCTCATGCACCTACTAGTCATGCTTGCGGCAGGCATCCATGCGATTCTCCCCTTTCATAGATGGGGAGAGGCATGTGCAAAATGGACACCCCCAGGGATGGGCCGCCACAGTGAGCTTGCATCACATTATCCTTTGTGGAGCTTAGCCACTGGGTGCCTTCTGCCCCGTGCTTTTCATTTCATTCTGTTGGCTCCATGGGATTCCCAAAGCAGTGCAGCAAGGCCAGCTAAAATAAATTTGGTCTTCACCGCAGGAAATGCTATTTGACACAGGAGGTTACTAAGTCTTTTAAAAACTCCGCTCCCTTGCAGCACTCAGGAATCAGCACTTCCACCAAAGCAAATCCAAGAGCATCAAATGCATGTTTTTCAGATAACAGCTGAGATTCTGTCCCACTTTCTATGCTTTAAGATCTGTTATTTACAATCATATCTTAAATGCCAGTGTAGATGTAGGGTGACCATTTATATATCACCCCAAAACAGGATGCTAGAGCACATTGCTTTGCATTATATTTGCATATTCAAGAAGTAGAAATTTAATAGAAATGCAAGATGTCTCAGCACAGTGAAGAGGACTAACTGGGTGATCTGTGTGCTTGCTACTCTGTCTGCTGTCCAGGAGCTACTGGGAGATGGGAAAACTGAAGGTCCTTTCCATACATTCCTCTAAGTCTTTATTTGTAAAGCAAAGCTGGAAGCCTGTCAAACAGAGGACAGTTTCAAACAAAAGACTGTCAAACTTCCCAACCAAAGAACTATTGTCTGTAAAGTTGAGTGCCTGACTACCTTAGGGCAAAATATAAAAGATAGAAAACAAAATACAGAGAAAAGATGAGGGAATGAGGTGATGGTTGTAATTATAGCCTCTTTCTGCAGTGAACATTCTTTGTTTAAACATCCAGGAGCCAATTATTAGGAAATCTAATGAGTTCTATATCTGTACAGCTACAGAGAATTCCCTTTGTCTCAGTTCTCCTCCAGTCATTATTTTCAATGCCAGCTCCTGTTTGAAAATAACGATTGCCTGTCATTCTAGCCATTCTCACTCACTAGACTGAGAAAAATACTCACAGAGAGTTTGATGATTTTGTCAAAGAGATGTACTTGGGGCCCAAGAAAGTCGAACACAAAATACTACAGTAAAGAAAAACACAGGACACCAAAGTTAGTATATTAATACAAACAGCACAAATAATACCAGTAAATTATGGCACTGTCGGCTTTCCACCATAGGTCAATGGGCACATGGGTAAATGGGCGAAAAGTTAATCCCCTCTCACCCAGTTGAGGGTGAGGGAGGGTGAGGGTGGACTCTGCCCCTTAAAACTGTTATGGCCAATCCTAAATAATGTATCTCCTGCTTCACCCCTAACTGGACATGAAGTTGGACCTCACCCCTAATTGGACCTCATTCCTTCTCCCCATGGAATATTGGGAATTGTAGTTCTGTGGGAGCATTTTAGGAATTCAGAATTCTGATAATACTCAGGCTACAACCCCAAGGATTCATTACAGAACTTCATATGTTAACTACAACACCGGTGCGCAGGTATGCCTTAAGATTGGGAAAACTGATGCACAGGGAGGAGAGCTGGCATTTCAACCAGTTACATTTACTTTACACAACAAACCTACTTTTCAAACTCAGTGGGAAGTCAACATTTTGTATCAACAGAATAAAGTGACCTAATTTACATACTTCATTGTAAAATGGTGAATTGGTTCCTTCTTTGACTGTTGTCTGTTTCTTCTCATCCCCAATTTCTATAATCACAACTGGATCTATATTCTCACCAACAAGCTGTCGGGCTTCAATGATCGTTATAGCAATCTGTAACAGATGCATTCCTATCAGAACTGGGGACATGGATAGAGGTATGGGTCATTCATGATAGACACTGCCATTTATTTTGTTCTTTACCTGATAAGTCTGAGACTTCACCTCCCCTTCATGAATCTTCGGTTCCAGCTTTGCTCTGTTGCCATTTCAGAACACAAGGACATACATCAGCCTTTAAGAAGCTGTATTTCTTCATCTTGAAAAACTATCATGCGATTTACCTTAGCACATGTCCCCACTACCAACACCAAGATCAGTTATAACTGAAGGCAATCCAGGGAACTACAATAATCCAGGGAAAGCCCCAAAGTTCAGTGGTAGAGAATTCATAAAGTATCAAGTTCAGTCCCCAAAAGACCTCAAGGAACTGGGCTGGAACGTAACTCATCCTGAAACCTTGGGAATATGCTGTAAGGAAGTCTGGACCAAATGTGCTAATAGACTAAATATGGTAGCTAAATCTGAGAAAAGGACCGTGGTTTCACAGCAGAGCACAAACTTTTCTTGCAGAAGATCCTATGTTTAGCCTGGTTGCAAGATTTTTCCTAGCTGGAAGCTGCCCCCCCCCACCCCAACAGAAATTTCCTAGAAATTGGGGAGTATCAGCTGACCTAGTTTGGCCTATCATGCTTAAAGGGTTTTCCTACCCACCTGGCTGATCTCATTACAGTTCCTTCTGCTGGCCAGAGTGCCTGCTTGGTGGCACACTGGCTGAATCCCAGCCAAGCGTCCTTCAGGATAGCAAGACTTTATTCAGACTAAAATTCTGATAGGATAGATGGTACACCTCCATTTCCTGATCACCTATAAGGTGAATTATGTCAGCCCAGAGAGGAAAAGTGAATGGCTGGGCATTTAGATGTCTTTTGTTTGCTATCCAGATACATCCCTAACTTCACTCTATGCTGCTTTCTACTTCTGGCATATGAAATATTGCTGAGAGTTTACTTTGCAGCTTCAGCTATAAAGCAGATCAAGAAGGTTGATCTGGTTTCCACTGCAGTCAGCAGCTCTCTTCCAACAGTGAAGGCTGCATCAAGACCATGGGTCTCTTTTTCCTTAGAAGTGCCTGTGACAAGTATCGTCCACCCTCCATGCCGTGGTTGGTGGCAGAAACTATATCTTGTTCTCCTCCTATCACTCTCTCCAACCCAAGGCTTCCATCTGGTGGTAGTTTGTCTTCTGCTGACAGGGCTTTGCTGACAAGTACCTCATTCTGCCAGATTACAGATAAGCACAATGAGCCGGAGAAAAGCTCTCTCAGGCACGTTGCTTTCCTGTCATTGGCTGCGCCAACAAGGCAGGGCCTCTTCAGCAAGGGGAGGGGCAGGCAGCCATTTTGTGATGCAGCAACGCAATACCTCTTCCTCCAGGGCTCTGAGGCACCAGAGCTACTAGAGGAGACACAGTCATCGTACTGCATTTCCCCTTCTTCCCCATCTTGACCAGCAGCGATTTGTGGGTGCAGGTTTCCAAGGTCCTCATGGTCTCCTGTTGAGGGAGGAAGGCAGGCAGGCAGCAGGCAGGCAGGCAGAAAGACAGATAGAAGAATTGATAAACATAGATTCTAGAGGGTGGGAGGAGAGCATTAAGACCAAGGGTCTCAAAAAAATTCATTTGCATACATTTGCATTTCTGCGTACTTACCACACGACTCACATGCACTCACAAGGATGTCCCGACCTGCAGCAATTAGACTTGGGCAAGGCCTTTCATAGTAGCCACTAGAAGGCTTTCCCCCAAGCCTAACAGCAACATGGGGGTGATGTGAAAGAAAATTTCTTTTTAACCTTCATTGCTGCCAGGATGGGGTGAGCAACAAAGGAAAGCTCCATGGGATGGTTGGGAATAGCATGCAGGCCAGAGTTTTCTCACCCCTTGCCTGCAAGGATAGACAGAAACCCACTAAGGAAACAATCCTTTGCATGTTTGGGCAGAAATAAATCTGAAATGGGTTTGCCTGCTTTCAAGAGGAATATGCAGCCTTCCCTAGAACGAACAAAGGTGGTTTAGCATGTGAAGAGTACATTTCCATCTGCTCTGAATAACCACAGCAAAGAGAGCCTTTGGCTCTTGGGCAGGATAAAACTGAAACAAATAAATTCTCGGAAGTTTGTGTCTATTGCTGGCGCACACACCCTTTCTAATTTGAATGGCCATCTCCACACAGCCACATCATCCTCCAGTATTGTGTGGGATTGCAACATTCAGAAGAAACTCCTACAGCCTGGCTTGGCATGTAGCACCAATAACCTAAAAAATAGTGCTTTGTGTTTTCAAATGTTCAAGATCTTTGCACTGAAAGTGAGTTTCCATTAACTATAGCCAGTTTAAAGTTCTTGGAGCATACAAAAAATAGCAAGGCAATTCATCTGGTTTGCAGAACAGAATGGAATATGGTTTTTAAATAATTTATTTGTTTAAAAATAGGGGATGCAAAGAAAATGTTGGGGGAAGACCCCGGTTCATCCCTGATTACATCCAGCAACAACACTGTAAAGCAGGTCAGTAGCATAATGCCCTATATTGCAGATTGGGGGACTGAGGCTGACAGGGACCAGGTGGCCTGAGGCCACCGAGAGATCAGCCCAATGGGGATGCCCTTAAGCTTCCGACCTGGGAGGATGATGGGCATCCTGGGCAAGGTGAGAGCAGCACAGTGGTCCTCCCTGGTCCTCCAGCCCTGTAAGTCACTCGAAGGTGAATTCTGGCCATTGGCTAAGCCCCTCAGCATGAAGAGGAAGCAAGGCTGCTCTCCTTCCAAGCTCACTCTTCCTCGGAGAAGCCGCTGATGCAGTTCTTTTCACACTGGCTATGAGGACAGGCAGGGAGACCTGGGGGCAGAGCTCCGGCTTCAACTTCAGAGCACTTTTCTGATAGCGGCCCTGGGAGTCTGCAAAATCCTGCATCCCCTGGATGATACCTAGGCCAGTAGAGGATCCCTCTGCCTGTCAGTTCATGGTGCAGGCACACCTGATTCATGCATAGGTCAGCTCCCGTGATGTATCAGCACAGAAAATCAGAGAGGCAAATGGAAGAGCTGCTGGGTGCTTCAAAGGTCTTAGACTCTCTGATCCCGATATTGGTAGGAAAAACAAAAACAAGACACTCCACTGGAAGCACTCTAGTCGGGGCTCATGTTTCATCCAGACAAACATAACAACCTATCACTTATTTCCGAGTTGCAGCCAAAACAATTGCCCAGTGAGATTGACTGTGGCTCCATTTCATGTTTACTCTTCTTTCTAACCCCCTGTCACGCCAGGGAAAGCTGAAGGCAGAAGAAGAAAAGGAAGACCAAATGGATAGACTCCATAAAGACCAAATGGTGGATGAACTCCGTAAAGGAAGCCACAGCCTTGAACTTGGGAGAGCTGAATGGAGCTTCCATGGACAGGACACTCTGAAGGGCTTTCATTCATAGGGCTGCTATAGGTTGGAGATGACTTGACAGCACAACACTGCAACAAAAACAAGGCTTACCTAGTGCCCCTTTGTTTGCAATCATTAACCCCTTGTCTTCTTTCTTCTTTTTCTTCAGCTTTATTCCAGCAAACAACCCCTTTCTGCAAAATTTAAAAAATAAATTAACAGGAAATCCTGCAACACAATATTACCGTGTGGAACATTCCTGTTCAGAGCTCCACTAACCACAAGAAGCTTAAGAATGCTGGATCAGACCAAGGGCTCATCTCCCCCAGCTTTCTGTTCACACTGTGGCCAGGCAGCTGCCCACATGCCTATAAGTAGCCTGCAAGTAGAAGGGCATGAGCTCAAATGAGTCTTGGGCAGCTTCCCAAGACTATCAGCTCTTTTGCTTAAAAACAAACAGTTTCTAGCCCTCATGACTGAGAAGGTATGCTTAACAGTGAATGAGCAATGAATGCATGGTGAAATCTGAAGCCAGAGGAAAACGTCAATGGAATCATGGTCCACCACTGCTTTGTATATTTTGCCTCATTGAATGGACATTCTGCATTCTGCATTTGAAAGACTGAGAGTGACCTGGTTCATGTGACATAGATGATCACCCCAATTGTTTCAAGATAGCTTGTCATCACATCCAAGCCCAGCATAGCTACCTCAGTGCAATTTGTTAACCGAGCACAAACCATCCTGAGAATCCATGGCTTGTTTGTGGGCTGCTCAAGATGAGGCGTTTCCAGAGTGGTTTGCTATTCTTGTATTTTTAGTGGGAAATGATTTTGGAGTGCAACCCTATGGTAATGGCTATAATCCCCTGACCTTGGAGTTTATGGCCATCCAGTGCAGAACAGGAGAAGCATCAGAGATGACCTTCACCTTCCTGTCCTCCCTTCCTAAATCCTCCATTAGTTGGACTTTGCTGCCCATCCAGCTAGAACCTGCACAGACCTCAAGATGGCTCATCTCCCTTTCTGCCCATCTCCAGGGTTGCCTTCCCAACCTCAGGGAGAAGCTGGTGTGGTTCTTTCTGTACCAGCTGCAAGAGGTTGGTGGGAAGCAGCAAAGCTACATCCCAACTCTGAGGGCGAAACGCTGTTTTCTTCCTTTGACTTGGGAATCCAGAATATTCTATAGTCCCTTGGATGCTGCCTCAGGGCAGCAGAATTGTCCCCCTCGCTATTTGGTATGCTTTCGTCATTTTTGTTATCAGTTACCTTTTGTAAAAGGAAAGAAAAGAAGAAATTCATTTGAGAAATACTTTTAGTAGGTGCAGTATTCCTCTACCCAGGATGGTAAATGACGTTTAATCCAAGTTAGGGTTAAGACACCATTAATAATAATAAAAATCATAAAAACTCCGTGAACAAGCAATTAATTTGGGAAGCCATTTCAGCATTTTTTTTTCTGAAGGGTGAATATCTGCAAAAGTTTTGGGGTGGGGTGGGGTGGGGTGGGGTGGTTACTGTTGGCAACAGCCCTGATTTGTCCTTACTTCCCCAGTTATTAAATTTATTTTTGATGCCTCACCCTCTGTGGTTGGAGAGAACTTTCCCCATGACTACTGGTCAATGTCGTATTGGTTTTATTGTGTTTTATACTGCAAGCTGTGCTGTTTTAATTTCTATTTTACTTGTTGTTTGTTGTAAACCATCCCGAGATGCTAGTATAAGGACTTTAAAAGCTTTCAATCAATAAATAAAATACTTCTCCAATCCTGAAAACTTGCTGGAGCATTTCTGTCTTTGGAGGAATGGTCTGGGAAGTAGTCCCCATAATTTCACAGCTGAGGAATAGGGTGGAGAAATTTGGGAGGCTGCTTTTGCTCAGCTCTTTGGCACAGCACCTACCTGAGAATGTCTAAAATAATGGAAGTCTGTTTGGAATTATGTACCAGGACACAGTATAATTTCTAGGGATTCTGCTGGGAGAGTGGCCAGTTGCCAAGCTGGGGCAGCTGCCAAGACCAACTTCACCAGTGCTGAGGCAGCAGCAAGAGCCATTAAAAGAATCAAGGGCAAACTAGTACCACCAAAAAACCAGAAGGTCTCCTGACACTTTTGCAGTCCTCCATCCACAGTTTCTAACTGAGACTCTGCATGCACTGCTTTGGTTGCTGAACAGGAGCAAGTCTGGACTGCAGATTATGTATTTAAGTGGAGAAGGAGCTTTACAGTACAGATCATTCCTGCAGTTGTGCCAGGTTTTGTACCTTTCCTTTGTGGTTAATAAAGAAATAATGAATGTGGTTGAAAAGAAGAATAAACTGTTTCAAGCACCTCTTGTATCACTTTCCACAAAAGATTGCACTTGACCTGTAGCATTCTTCGGTGAGGCCAAATTCTCTCTTTTTTAACTCAGCCCCAAATTTATATTAGCCTTTCTCTGTGAGTTTTCCGTGAAGTCATATCTCTCAGATCCTGACTGAGAATATCTGTCGCGGCAATTGAATGACCACTCCTGGAAGTTCAATTTAAAAATGACTTTGCAGAAATGTTCTTACTCTGGCTCAAAGGAAGGCAGAGAACATTGATCTCGGTAAAGACTGAATAGATTCAAAATACCTCCCCCTTTTTCAAATGCCCTGTATCATAAGACAAAATCTTATCATGCTATATCTTATTCCAAATTAGCACAAGAAATCATTTGCATTACTCATCACATAATTCGTGCAACTCACACCGAATGTCTCCTTCCAAGATGCCGGTTTTTGTTTTCTGCTTTTTTAAGTGTCCTTTCCAGCAACTTTTAACAGGGGATGTTCCAAAGGGGGCGAGCCTGTCCGTCTACTTTGTGGCTATAAGAACTTCAGAAGAACACCTCTGGATCAAACCAAGCATCCATCTAGTCCAGCATTCATTTCACACAGTGGTCTGCCAGCTTCCCATGGACCCACAAGCAGGGACACGGGGGCTGAAAGCCAACAAAAGCTAGGTAGATGGAGCGGCTGCAGCTTATCAAGCAGAGGTGTTGCAGCACTGCATCCTCCTTACCCCATGGACAGCCAATCCAGGGTTAGCAACACTCCCTTGCTCAGCCCCACCACCCATTTGGAGTGATGGTAGTGCAGGACAGAAGCATTGCCCTGCCCTCACTCTTAATAACTTCACCTTCTATAACTGTGGCATCACCACCATGACATCATCACACATGACCTCATGATCTCTGTCAATAGGGAACCCTCCAAGAAGAAAACCCAAGCATGATTTGGTATGCGTGCATGGACACACTCTATAGCTTCCAACTGGGAGAAAAAAAGATGCAGGCTTGCATGACAGAAAGGAGAACTTCTGGGTCTATAGGCTCCAGATTCTTAGACCAAATGGACTTACTTGAGGGACAATTCATAAGTTTTGTCCAGCGCTCATGCCCCTCTTTTTTTCTTTTTTCTTTACCTCCCTTGGAATGTTCATCTCCCAGCATTCCCAAGTGCTGCTCTAGGTATCCTTTCCACATCAGGTACTGATGTGAAGGTGGAAGCCAAAATGTTTAGCTCTAAATATATTTTTGAAACTACTCCATCGTTAGCCTGCCTTTCAGATATATGGACACGCCTAACTAGGAACGATAAGCAAGGGACTCAGATTGATTGGGTTTAGTGTTTGCCAAATAAAGAGGGAAAGGAGCTGCTAGTGAAATGGGAGAGCAGGAAAGTGGAAGACATCAGGTTGTCTCCAGGAACTGCCTTTCACAACAAGTCTCCACTTACAGGAGGTCCCTTCCCTACACTCCCCACTTCTCACTCCATTCAACAGGCTCTCTTGACACTTCATGGTATTTCCAGGTGGCAGGAGGGGCTGCCATAGGGTGGAAACTGTCAAGAGGAAAAGAAAAGAAGCAGAGCAGAAGCAAACATCTGGCTTAAGAAGGGGAACCCAAAAGATGTTGGGTTGCCCACCTATTTGATAGAACAAAACACTTTGGTGTTAGGACAAAATACTTTGGTGTTTTCCAGGCTTGTTTTGGATCAAAAAAGTTGCCAATCTTGATTTTAAAAATACTGCAAGCATGCACAGTTTTGCATTTTAAACTCATGTCAGTCACAGCTCCATCCTGATTACGTGTAGGCATTTGGGTTTCCTTGGCTGCAGAGCCCTGGACTTTGGTCCCAAATCCATCCCTAGGTACCTCACTGTCCTTTGGTGGTAAGAACACAACAATTTAAGGTTTCTCTCACTCCTGATAAGAGTTACACTGTTCACAGCATGGAATCTGCCTTATGCTTGTGTCTAGACAACTTGGGGGGGGGGGGAGAAATGACAGTTTAATAGGTTGGCAGTTTCTATATGGAGATTTCTCCCCCCCCCAATAATATACCATTAATATCTAATCCACCCACAAAACAGCCAAATTACTGATCAAAGGTGGAGATTTCTAGGATGGCAGGTGCAAAATACCCGACTGTGTTCATTTCTGAGCAACCAAAAGCACATTTGCACAACAAACTGGCATGTTGAACAACCTGAATAAAGACATCACAGACTCTTCTCTTTCGACAGACTTGACAACAATCTCTTTTCTCCAGGTCCGTATGAAGCAATGCACACTAATAACTGAAAATAGGAAAGATGTCCCTGCAAAGGAGGAGGTGATTCAGAGGACTATTCCACATGCAGTTTGCAAGAATATCGCCTCTGTGGCCTTCATTCCCCTCGAGCATATTTCAGGCCATTGTAATGGCCCTGCCAACTTTCCAAAAAACAAGGATCTAGACGCTTTTCATGGGAAAATGTGCAGACAGAATCCTACTCACTTGCTCAATAACAACTGATCCTGCACCAAACTGGTGGATATTTGGCACTGATATTTTCTTGGTATGTGCTGTCAAGTCATCTCTGAGTTAAGGTCACCCTATGAAAGAGTGCCCCCCCACACACCCCAGATGTCCTGGCCTTGACAGCCCTACTCAGCTCTGGTAAACTCAAGGTTGAAGTTTCCTTTATGGAATCGATCCATCTCATTGTGGGTCTGCCCTTCTCCTTCAGCCATGGTTGACTTCTCCAGGGAGTCTTGCCTGCTCACGAGGTGCCTGAAGTACAACAGATTCAGTTTTGTCATTTTGGCTTCCAGAGCAAGTTCTAGTTTGATTTGATCCAGGACCAACTTGTTCGTCTTTCTGTCTGGCCAGGGTATTCACAAAGTTCTCCTCTGGCAAATGCTTCATTTAATGTCTATATTTATATAGCTCCAAGAAGCCCCTGGGCCAGCCCTACCATTAGGCAGAGTAAGACAGTCACTTCAAGTGGTAGATGCTATGGACCGCTTGGCTTGTCCTGTGTCCCCAAAACTAGCTTGCTACTGTCCCATCACCAGTGCTGAAGAAAGAACCCAAACTGCTCGTCCAGGGACCATCACATGGAAACAGGAGGAGACACTATTGTGTCTATTGCCTCAGGAGGCAAAATGTCTTACACCAGCCCTGAGAAGCCCCTTCCCCAGTAGGACCATCCACCACTAAATGCGTGGGTTTAGTTTTGTTGGCCTGTTGCACTGCAACCCAGAGAAGAAATGCCGAGCTTCAGAAGGACCAACAGTCTTGAGGGCTGGTTTGAAGTTATCATGTAATATCTAGTGAGGGTTTGCAGGTGCAGGTGGGCCATCTCAGTTCACAACTGGAAGACTCGGAGCACTTCACACCTGCATTCCTGCAAGCACAATGCACTTCAGTGGAGATGGCTCACAAGCCAGGTACCAGTGGTCAAGTACAGGAAAATCAATATATATTTTAATTGTTATTGTTTTAATTTATTGTGTATTTTATTCTATGCTGTGATCCACCCCGAGGCTTCAGCAAGGGGCGGCATAGACATGTTTTAATAAATAAAATAAATAAAAAAATATTGATTCGTGTGAGAACCAGTCCTGGATCATTGGTTGTAAGTGCAAATTCACAGTCAGACACATCAAAAAAAAAAAAAATATCACGGTGGGCTGGATAAAGACTGAGTCATAGTTAGAGTAGACCCATTGAACTATATGAGACTTACTATCTACTGAACCAGTTATCCAAAGGGACTGGAAGCAGTGTTTACCACAAGCACCTAGGATATTTAACCATTAATATAACTGGGATATTTGACCATTGTACACTACTCAGAATGCTTTGGTTAGGAATAAAAATCCTCATAATCTCCTACAGGATTACTCAATAAAAGGGATCTGCTTATTCCCTATATGCTCAGCAGCTTTCTACTATGTGCTCTTTGCCATGCAGAATCTCAGCTATGTGCAGAGATTCCAAACTGTTTGGCTGAAAAGTCTGAATGAATCAAAACTTAGCCCCAATACAAAAATCAGACTATGGGCCAATCACTCGATGGTTTGCCATTAAGTGAACATTCAAAAGGAAAGTGCAGGTAGTCATGGCTCTTGTTTTATGCTACCAATGTGATGCAAGGATATGTGACGTTCACACTTTACATTTTCAAAAGAACGCCTAACAACCGTCATGTGTGAAGTAGCTCCATTGAATATATGAAAAATACAATTCAGCAAAATGTATGTATGCTTAAGGCTGGCACTGTGCAAATTCTATCATGCCGCTTGCAAAACTACACTT